TCTTTCCCTGACGGATCTATATCAGATGGTTTCCTGCAAATTTGATTATTAGTATTATTGCTGCAATGGATGTGCATCAATGCAAGAGAGATCGTTATATGAGTTGTACCTAGAAGACTTCCTGATCTTTGGCGCAGGGCGACTGGATGTTTTCTTCTTTGGAGTAGCCTGTTTTGATAGTTTCTTGGTTGTCTCTCGGTCTCCAGGCCTCCTGGTGGTATCATCGGCTTCGTCGTCACTCAGAACCAGCTTCCTCTTTCGAGAGTCTGACTGGCCGACTGAATCAGAAGCACTTGGTTGAGTTTCAGACCGAATTCTTGGTCCTCCGCTCCCTTGCCCAGTTTGGTGGCGGGGAGATCGGCGTTGAGCGATTGGGGGATCCGATTTCATCAAAGCAAATTCCTGGGTGTAATATCTTTCATTATTAATTGATTCAACAGGAAGACAAGATCATATTTTGAGGAAGGTTGAAATGTTTGAGTGCATACCGGTGGAGGAGGGTTGAATGCGTTGAATGGCACAACGGGCAGCAGATGTGAATAGCTGACGACAATAGCGTTTGAGAAGATCTTGTACATTCTTTCTTTCATGACCTTAAAGTCAAGAGAATCTGGATCTTCCCGATTTGGATCATGCTTGCCGTCGAACTCAAAAGCTGTGCGGGATCTTTCTTTGATTGGAGCTAACCGACACTTGATGAAGTGCTGGGTGATCTGCTCTCCTTGAAGACCCTGTTCTTTCAGCTTTATCATCCTCTCCATCAGTTCTACTGCCTGAGCAGCTTCATCTCCCATAGGCAATGAGTTCCATGTGTCCTGGTAAACCGGAGGAAGACAGTTTGCGTGCTCAGGAGTGCGGGCTCAGGATTCTGAACATAGAACCAGTTTGCGTGCCAGCCTTTATTTGAGGTCTTGAAGGGCATGGAGAAGTATTTTTGGCTTAGTGTTCCCCTGAGTTGGAAACCAGCACCCCCAACTACGCATGGTTTGCTCTTATTTGGCTGGGGCTTGAGGAAGAAGATGCGGCGGAACAAGGCAAAATGAGGCCTAATGCCCAGAAAAGCTTCGCAGGCGTGGATAAAATTGGCAATATGCACTATGGAGTTTGGATTCAGATGATGCAAGCTAATCCCGTAGAAGTTCAGAATGCCCCGGAAAAATCTTGAGGTTGGAAGAGAAAATCCGCCATAGAAGAAGTGAGCAAATACCACGATTTCATGCGTATCGGGAGTCGGGAATGCTTCGCCAAATGCCGGTCGCCACCCGATGATCTCCTTCGCTGGAAGAACGCCGTGCGCCACCATCTCCTTCAGATTATCTTCTGTCACATCGGAGGGCGCCCACTGACTCTCGAAGCTTTCTCTTTCTTCCACCATGAATGTGAACTGGATGGTTTGATTTGGTTCGAGATACGGATGGAAAGGGATGGGGGAATCGGTGCGGTGGACGCGTGGAGAAGATTCGTGGGATTTTTGAGAATGGATTGGGGCGGATTGATGAACCCTAGCTCCGTCGGCGTAGTCTTGTACTGTAGCGAGGAATGGGGAAATGGCGAGAGTCTTGGCGGGGAAGACGAAGCGTCGCTTGGACTTCGGTGTTTTTTAGGGTATCGTGAGTACTAATGGGCCTGGGCCTGTACAGTACTTCAGCCCAATTTTATTTCCAGCGTGGCCCGTTGTGATTCTTAGGGACTTAGGCACTTTTTGCTTTGGCAATTTGTACTCACAATGTTGTGGCCCAATGCTGATTAAATCCTTTTTAATGCGGTTTGCTAATTCTTTAGAATTAACACGATGCAAACAAAAGGTGCCTGACAGAAAGGTGTTATGCCGTTTTTGTAAGCTTTATTAGGCTACAAAAGCTGTTTGGGTTGATTTGAGATGACTGGTTTATTCATAGTTATTCTCTTAGCATGTTATATGCTTATTTTGATTATGGTAAAGGTTATAGCCTAGGCTAATGAACTTCTTAATTACCATGATCTTTATCATATTTGGTGGATCATTTTAAGAGTTTCTTGCTCGGATTCCTACCAAATATATATATTTTTAGACCTTTTGAGTGTTTATCACTCGGCCCTTCTTGTATTTTTTGTCCTTGATATATTCAAGATTGAGAAGCAGTCGGTTGGGTATCTTACTAAGTACCATGCGTGCTTCACTATAAAACCACTCGGTTCTTGACTATATGTTTAGTTTTTCAACTAATCACATAGTCAGGGGCTACACCTAATTAGGTGCATCTACTCGATGCACCATGTTTTATTTTCGCCCTTTACAGTCTTTTAGCACTCGGCAAGCCGGAGCAAGTTGAATTAAAGCACTCGGATTATTGTTTTTGTTTCGAGAAGACTATTTTGGTCAACTGTGAAGGTCTCGGGGGCTACTGTGGAGATTATGGTTACCCCATATCTACATGGCGGTTATATTCCAGCTGGATATACGGTACCAAATATAGATAAAATATTTTTACGAGGACTCGGGTTAGATTCTAAACTTGTATGTCAAGAAAATACCCGGGATCCTAGTCGGTTACGATTGTGTTTTATCTGTAATCCCATATTCCGTTAGGATATGGGTTGTACTTTGTATTACGGATCCCTTCCCCTGTATAAGGAGGGTCCGTGTGCCTCTTGGGGCACGATTCTTTTTTCCCAATTATACAATCAATAACACACTCGGCGGAATCATCCCCGGACAGGAGTAGGGTATTACTTCTTGAATAAGAAGGCCTGAACCTGTATAAAATTCCTTGTCTTCAAACCCATCCACTTTCCTAGCTTGATAGCCACCCCCTTTTATTATTGCCGAAATCTTGTTTCGACACAGTGTAATTCCTCTTTGCTTATGTACTTTTTCTTCACTTAGGCAGCGTTCGTTTGGAGGACATTGAGGGAGAAAGCACCTCGTTTTCCGCACGCACGCTTCCCAAACTATTAAACGGTGTGTTTTTTGTAAAAATTTTCTATAAGAAAGTTGCTTTAAAAAATCATATTAATCCATTTTTGAAATTTAAAATAGTTAATACTCAATTAATCATGAGCTAATGGCTCACCTCGTTTTGCGTATCTTCCCAATCTCCTCAAACACACCCTTATTGTTTATCGGACATTTAACTGAGCATATATACAGTGCCAAACAGCGGGAATTGGCATCCCCTGTTTCTCCTTTCTTCAGCTTTGTCAGCACACTGAACTGTACAAAATCAGTTCATCTTTTCCCACCTAATTCTGAAAATGACATCAATAGCAAAATGATCAAACAATCAAAATTTTCATAGAAATAAAATATTTTCCTTATCGCAATTGGCACCTTACATTTAGATTTATTCTAAGTTACTCGGCAAAAAGAAGAAGGATTAAATTAGTCCATCGCTTGCACTGTTTCATCTGCTAGTGCCAGCTCCAACATTTTGAAGAGTTTACTATTATAGCTTCTCAACATCTCAAGCTTGATGTACCAACCTGTCGTAGAAAGCGTCCTACCAGTAAGAGCAATGATGCAAGATCAACTGCATATAAACAAACAAGCAAATTAAACAAACACGGTTTGCAAGTATAAAAAACTTATGTCACCTTAATTACATGCAGTGCAATCCAGCCAGCAGCAACAACAATTAATTGCACTTGGTTGACCTCTATAACATTAAAAAATCCCTAAGAAAATTGCTGACATAATGTTCTAGTCAATTGGTGTTGCAACTACCCGTACATGGTCAGCAGCTGAAGCAAGGACGAGAGCTCAACTAAGGAGGTCATTATCTAAAAAAACTAGGGATATGAGGGAAATAATTAGAGGATTAAACAGTTCAATTTTGTACTGGTCCACGCAATGGAAGAGCTAATAGAATGTTGTAATTGCGTGTCAAATAGATTATACATTGTTGTGTAGCTTTTGGAACTTTCTTTTTTCGCTGAAATGTGGCTTTTGGAACTCAAGCATATCGGATAGATAGGCTTGCACAAGTTGTCCACTAGATCACTACTACTGTTGTATATGCACTGGGATGACTATGAAAGTACACAATGGTTGGTAACCGTACACTCAAAGGAATACCCAGTTTTTTAAAAGAATTTAGGGTATCAACTTCAAACGAGAAAAATAATTCATGAGGGGATTCTCTATTCTCCAGCCAAGGTTTACAGAACCGATTGCCTTAAGACAACCGTGATAATCAAGCGGTTATTATCGAAAACCAGCAAAACTTGTTGAAAAAATTGTATGCTTTTTAAAGTTATCTACTTTATCGAGCGATTCGTAAATACGGCTACGGCTAGATAGATAAGATTGATAACCACGATAACCAAATGGTTATTGCCACATTTGAAACGGTTATCTAAAGTTTTTTTTTTTTTTGCAAATATAAGATTGCTTCAAGATTTGTGCTCTGACCCACTTCACTCACTTAGTCTCTAGCTCTATGCAGAATGTTTGTGTCCTTTCACCCATCTCTTTGCCACCAATGCTTAACGGTACCTTGGAACACAGGAAAAATAATAAGATTTCAAAGGATTTAAATCTTATAGTAAAATTTTCTATTAGGTCTTTTGGAACGAATCAGGTCCCAGCCCATATAATTCTTTTGAAATTTGTGTGGAATGGCATGTTTCATGGGAATTTTGAAGGATTCCTGGCATGAGCTCTCTAATCTCTTTGGAATTTCCATTTATGCCTACCTCTCTCTGCCATATCCTGTGCTTTTCTTGTATTCCATCCCACGTAGTTTTCCTGTATTTTTTGTTCCTTACAATTCAAGGTGTTACTGACATTCTATTTTTATGTTTTTTATATTCCTAAGTTCCAAAGAGAGTATTGGACCCATGATCTTGTATCTTTAAGTGCCTACCAAGCCAGCATCGTGTCATAGCCGGAGCATCAATCTCCATATGAATCCAATCGTGACCTCATGGTTTGAATTTTTCAAATTTTCATAATTTTTGGACGCCAAAAGTCTAGCAATCCTATTTTTTGATAGAGATATATTTACTCATCACATATAGAGAAATCATATCTCGAACAAACAGTGCGCTTGATGGCGCCCGCCCAACCACCGCCGGCTCAGTCGCTCTAACACCTCTCGATCACCTCCTTGCAAGCAATGCTAGCCATGGCCGCCGCCGCGCTCTCGCCGGAGCGCGTCCAGTCGTCGTAGCCCCTACTCGCCGGCGCCGCTCCAATCACCGTGGTTCAGCCACCCGCGGCGGAGTATGAAGCGCCACGACGCGGGAACGCCGCCGCGGCGCGCGCGCGACCATGCACGCGGCGTGCTTGTGCTCCACCTGCTGCTCGTGTCGGCCTCGCTGCGCGGCGCGACGGCCGCGCCGGGCGAGGCGGAGGCGCTGCTCGCGTGGAAGGACACCCTGCCGCGCTCGGCGGCGGCGGCGGCCGGCGTCCTCGGGTCGTGGGCGACGCCGTCGCCGCAGCAGCCGAACGCGAACCCCGCGTCGCGGCGCGCGTGGCGCGGCGTGGCGTCGACGCGTCGGGCGTCGTGGTGGGCGTCGACGTGGCGGCGCGGGGGTCGCCGGGACGCTCGACGCCCTCGACCTCTCGTCGCTGCCGGGCCTCGCCGCGCTCAACCTCAGCCTCAACTCGCTCACGGGCTCCTTCCCGTCGAACGTGTCGTCGCCGCTGCTCAGCCTCCGGTCCATCGATCTGTCGAGCAACAACCTCTCCGGCCCGATCCCGGCGGCGCTGCCGGCGCTCATGCCCAACCTCGAGCACCTCAACCTCTCGTCCAACCAGTTCTCCGGCGAGATACCGGCGTCCCTCGCGAAGCTGACGAAGCTCCAGAGCGTCGTTCTTGGCTCCAACCTCCTCCACGGCGGCGTGCCGCCGGTGATCGGCAACATCTCCGGCCTGCGAACGCTCGAGCTCTCCGGTAACCCGTTGGGCGGCGCGATCCCTACCACTCTCGGCAAGCTCCGGTCGCTGGAACACATCAACGTCAGCCTCGCCGGGCTGGAGTCCACCATTCCCGACGAGCTCAGCCTCTGCGCCAACCTCACCGTCATTGGCCTCGCCGGGAACAAGCTCACCGGCAAGCTGCCGGTAGCGCTGGCGAGGCTGACGAGAGTGCGGGAGTTCAACGTCTCCAAGAACATGCTCTCCGGCGAGGTCTTGCCCGACTACTTCACCGCCTGGACCAACCTCGAGGTGTTCCAGGCGGACGGCAACCGGTTCACCGGCGAGATCCCCACGGCGATCACCATGGCGTCGAGGCTGGAGTTCCTCTCCTTGGCGACCAACAACCTCTCCGGCGCGATCCCGCCGGTGATCGGAACGCTCGCCAACCTCAAGCTCCTCGACCTCGCCGAGAACAAGCTCGCCGGTGCGATCCCCCGCACGATCGGCAACCTCACGAGCCTCGAGACGCTGCGGCTGTACACCAACAAGCTCACCGGCCGGCTCCCCGACGAGCTCGGCGACATGGCGGCGCTGCAGAGGCTGTCCGTAAGCAGCAACATGCTGGAGGGCGAGCTCCCGGCGGGGCTCGCGCGGCTGCCGAGGCTCGTCGGCCTCGTCGCCTTCGACAACCTCCTCTCCGGGGCCATCCCGCCGGAGTTCGGCCGGAACGGCCAGCTCTCCATCGTCAGCATGGCGAACAACCGCTTCTCCGGCGAGCTGCCTCGTGGCGTGTGCGCGAGCGCGCCGCGGCTCCGGTGGCTCGGCCTCGACGACAACCAATTCTCCGGCACCGTGCCGGCGTGCTACCGCAACCTGACCAACCTTGTGCGCCTCCGGATGGCACGGAACAAGCTCGCCGGCGACGTGTCGGAGATCCTCGCGTCGCACCCCGACCTTTACTACCTTGACCTGTCCGGCAACTCGTTCGACGGCGAGCTCCCCGAGCACTGGGCGCAGTTCAAGAGCCTCTCGTTCCTCCACTTGAGCGGCAACAAGATCGCCGGAGCGATTCCGGCGAGCTACGGCGCCATGTCCCTGCAAGATTTGGACCTCTCGTCGAACCGTCTCGCCGGCGAGATCCCGCCGGAGCTCGGGAGCTTGCCGTTGACCAAGCTGAACCTGCGCCGCAACGCCTTGTCGGGACGTGTCCCTGCGACGCTCGGGAACGCCGCGAGAATGGAGATGCTCGACCTGTCCGGGAACGCGCTCGACGGCGGCGTGCCGGTGGAGCTGACGAAGCTGGCCGAGATGTGGTACCTCAACCTGAGCAGCAACAACCTCTCCGGCGAGGTGCCGCCCCTGCTCGGCAAGATGAGGTCGCTGACGACGCTGGATCTCAGCGGCAACCCCGGCCTGTGCGGCCACGACATTGCCGGGCTGAACTCTTGCAGCTCGAACACCACCACCGGCGACGGCCACTCCGGTAAGACGAGGCTGGTGCTCGCCGTCACGCTCTCCGTCGCCGCCGCGCTGCTGGTGTCCATGGTGGCCGTGGTTTGCGCGGTGTCACGCAAGGCGAGGCGAGCCGCCGTCGTCGTAGAGAAGGCGGAGACGTCGGCGAGCGGAGGCGGCGGGAGCTCGACGGCGGCGGCGGTGCAGGCCTCGATATGGAGCAAGGACACGACGTTCTCCTTCGGCGACATCCTGGCGGCGACGGAGCACTTCAACGACGCGTACTGCATCGGCAAGGGGAGCTTCGGGACCGTGTACCGCGCCGACCTCGGCGGCGGGCGCGCCGTCGCCGTGAAGCGGCTCGACGCGTCGGAGACCGGCGACGCGTGCTGGGGCGTCAGCGAGAGGAGCTTCGAGAACGAGGTGAGGGCGCTGACGCGGGTCCGCCACCGCAACATCGTCAAGCTCCACGGCTTCTGCGCCATGGGCGGGTACATGTACCTCGTGTACGAGCTCGCCGAGCGGGGCAGCCTCGGCGCGGTGCTGTACGGCGGCGGCGGCGGCGGCGGCTGCAGGTTCGACTGGCCGGCGAGGATGAGGGCGATCAGGGGCGTCGCGCACGCGCTCGCCTACCTCCACCACGACTGCTCGCCGCCGATGATCCACCGCGACGTCTCCGTCAACAACGTCCTCCTCGACCCGGACTACGAGCCGCGGGTGTCGGACTTCGGCACGGCGAGGTTCCTCGTCCCCGGCCGCTCCACCTGCGACAGCATCGCCGGCTCCTACGGCTACATGGCACCAGGTACAAACTGTCCGTACATCCATAGCCACACAGGGTGAAAACGGTCGGAATCTAACGACGCTGCTAGTTGATTATATTTATCATTTAAACTACTCAGTACGATATTAATGTGATGCATAAAGAAATTAGAAAAAACAAATTTTATATCTATGATATTTAAAATCTTAATAGTGGTGGTGTCCATTCGCACGCAATCTCTACCATTGACATATGGGTCTCATAATCTATACTATTACCTTTCAGCAAATCTTCAATTTCACCATTAGCTCTCCCAAATTTCAAAATCACCTACTTGTTGAAATAAGAAAAACTATAGTATTACTTAGACTAAATAGGGTCTTATTATTAACTAGCTGGGTGACCCGCGCAATTACGCGGCTAGCACCCAAACAAAATCATATATTATTTTAGTATGATTCATTTAAAATTTATTAAATAACTAGCTCATTGTCTTAAGACTTTGAAAGACCAAACCTTATCATCCTCGTGTTTCTAATTATATAGTTTTTAAAAGTCACACCAGTTGCTACCCCTTATGTCATCTCCTTCTTTATTTGCTTGCTCGATCTATCACTATTTCTATTCATTTTTCTTGGAACATTTAAAAATTGGATTTTATAGTTTTTAGAGTTTATTGTTATGTTGGGTTTCATTTTTATAATATCTAGATGTCCCGTCAAACGTTGCCATTATACTCCTCTATGGCCCGTCCACTGTCTCTTCTCTTTATTGTCATTGAGATTTTTAAAATCGAACATAATTATCATTTGTGTTCATTTTTTACTTTCTAGAAGTCCCGCCAAACCATCAGCGGCTTTGCCATTGTACTCCTCTACGGTTCGCCCGCTGCCTCCCTTCTTTATTGTCATTGAGATTTTAAAATCAAACATGATTATTATTGTTTTTTTTTTACTTTTTAGAAGTTCCAAACCTTTAAAAATTAAACTTGTAGTTTTATTTTTTATAATTTTTAGAAGTCCCTTCAAACGATGCCACTATGCCCCTCTACAGCCCGTCCGCCGCCTACTCTTTATCGTCATTGTGATTCTAAAAATCGAACATAACTATCGTTAGAATTTATTTTTTATTTTCTAGAAGTCCCGTCAACCGTCGGCGGCTCTGCAACTATACTCTTATACACCCTGCCCACTGTTTTTCCTTTTTATTGTCATTGAGATTTTAAAAATCGAATATGATTATCAATGGTGTTTTTTTTTTACTTTCTAGAAGTCTCGGCAACCGCCTTACTTGTTTGCTTCACGGCCTACTTGACGTCCCTCCTTTTAATCGTCATTAGGATTCTATTTGGTGTTTTATTAACAATTTTTATATGTCGTATCAACCGCCACTACTCTACTCCTTTATATGCATGGTACTTAATTTATCTCGTCATGTGTTTTAGATGGTTTTCTTTCAATAGTCTTTATTTTTATCACAAATTTTATACATTGTATTCCTAATTGAAATCTTATTTTTCTTTTTCTATTTTCAGAATTTAATTTTTTTTAGAAAAATTAGTTAATACCGTATTGTGTTTTTTTAATGTTTTTATTTTCTATTTTCAATTTTAGTTGTTTCAAAATTGTATTCCTACTTGAACTCTCTTTTAATTTTTCTAATTTTGGATATTATTTTATTTTTTATTCAAAATTTTTATTAATCTCGTATTAGGTTCTTATATGGATTCTTCGTTCAATATTGCCTATTTTTAATTTCGAATTTCATCTAATTTTAAATTGTATTCATACTTGAACTCTTCTTTTATTTTCTTTTGCTAATTTCGGATTTATTTTTATTCCGAATTTTAATTAATCTCATATTGGGTTCTTGTATGTACTCTTTTTTTAATATTCCTTATTTTTAATTCCGACTTTCAGTTATTTTTAAATTGTATTCCTACTTGGACTCTCCTTTCCTTTTCTAATTTTGGATTTTATTTTATTTTTATTTCGAATTTTGATTAATCTCGTATTGGGTTCTTATATGGAAACTTCTTTCAATATTGCTTATTTTTAATTCCGAATTTCAGCTATTTTTAAACTGTATTTCTACTTGGACTCTCCTTTCCTTTTCTAATTTTGGATATTATTTTATTTTTATTTTGAATTTTGATTAATCTCGTATTGGGTTCTTATATGGAAACTTATTTCAATATTGCTTATTTTTAATTCTGAATTTTAGATATTTTTAAATTGTACTTCTACTTGGACTCTTCTTTTCTTTTTTTTTTTCTTTTTCTCTGATTAATGTGGGAATTTCTAGCCCCCACAGCGAACATGGTGCCTCCTTTCAATGCTGTTTTAATAATATAATAGATTGATTGATTGATTCAATAAGCTAGAAATTTAATTTGTTTTCTGTTGCAATGCACGGACTCTAAGCTAGTATAGCCAAAAAAAAAAAGGAAAACCGTTGAAAACAGTGCCCCTTAAACATAAACGGCGCCCAATTGATTGAGAATTTTCGTGACCATTTTCACCCCTTATACACACCGAATCCGCCATTGACGCTGATACCATGTTTATCTTGCGGTCTTGCCGCAGAGCTGGCGTACATGAGGGTGACGACCAAGTGCGACGTGTACAGCTTCGGCGTCGTGGCGATGGAGATGCTCATGGGCAAGTACCCCGGCGGGCTCATCAGCTCGCTGCAACACTCGCCGCAGTCACTGTCAGCCGAGGGGCACGACGGCAGCGGCGGCGGCGGCGGCGAGGAGGCGTCGGCGTCGGCGTCGCGCCGGCTGCTGCTCAAGGACGTGGTGGATCAGAGGCTGGACGCCCCGGCGGGGAAGCTGGCCGGGCAGGTCGTGTTCGCCTTCGTCGTGGCGCTGTCTTGCGTCCGGACGAGCCCCGACGCCCGGCCGACGATGCGCGCCGTCGCGCAGGAGCTCGCCGCTCGCCGGCGACCGATCCTGGACAGGCCGTTCGAGATGATCAAGATAGGCGACCTGACAAATTCTCACAGATGAGAGAGAAAATTTGTGACAAATTATCGATTGCTTTGTGCTTATGTGATTCCGTTAGTAGATTCTCATTAGCATCTGTATAGTTTTTGTACAGTGATATTTAGTCCCGTTTGAGAACAGATGATGAAGAGTGTTGATTGACTTTTTTTAAAAAAGAAATTAAAAATTGGATTTATCTATCTATGTTTTAAAACAAGTTTTATGGAGAAAGTTATTTCATGAAACACGTCGTTTAGAAGTTTGAAAGTACTAACGAAAGGCGAGGTAAAATCTACATGTAAATTACCGAACGTTTGGGCTGAATTGATGCCTTCCTACGGGCTGAATTTATGCACAGTTATCGGCTGAATTTGCACTCACATAAGGGCCGAATTCACGCCAGCTTTTGGGCTCAATCGACGTAAACTTGTCGGCCAGATTGACCAGCATTTCTGGGTCAGATTTACCTGCATATATGGGCTAAATATGCGCAAACCAACGGACCATTGAGCAGAAAGCATTGGGCTGAAATTACGTCAAATAATGGCCGAATTTATCCTCATTGGGTCCAACTAACGCTCACTGTTGGGCCAAATTTACGGGCCTAATGGGCTAAATTTGCGCTCATTTTCGGTCCGCACTAACGCTCAAATAAGGGGCCAATTTTACGACCTTTTCGGCCGAACTATGGACTGAATTTACTCCCAAAAATCTTAAAAGAAAATTCAAAAACAATTGTTCTTAAATTCGAGTATAATCTCCACCTCAGTTCTTACAAATTTTACCCCCAAAACACTTTTATCCCACTCACAAAAACTTGTACATGAACAAGTCAAAATACTCCATACAACAAGAATCATCCATCCGGTCATCCCTCTTGCAAAATGCAGAGACACAGAGAAGTAGCAGCAGCAGCTCAGCACGAGACCCCGCATGGCTTGAGGACGGGGCCCTTGGGCTTGGGGATGAAGGGGTCGATCCTGACCCAGACGAGGGAGAAGATGGAGGCGAGGAGGATGGACCAGAGCACGACAATGGTGGGCGTCCGGTTCTGCCTCCCCATGAGCCCCTTGAGGAAGGGGTAGAGGTGGAGGATGACCCAGAAGGAGAAGAAGAGCTTCCCGAACAGCGGGCCCCACGACCCGTACCCGTTGTTCACGGCGTCCGACACGCCGGCGACGATCCCCACCATGTTGATGATGATCAGCGTCGTCGGCGGCACCAGCAGCGTCGTCCACTTGAACAGGTAGAGCTCGCCGAACGCGTCGGTCTCGTCGGCGGCGGCCTTGGACGTCACCGTGAAGTTGGTGTCCACGCCGCCGAGCACCTTGAGGAGGCCCTGGAACACGGCGAACAGGTGCGCCGACACGCCGCCGATCACCCAGAACTGCTCGTTCCTCCACCAGTCCTCGATGCTCACCCCGCTCCACCGCAGCTCCAGCACCCCCGTCGCGATGATCGACAGGAAAAGCGCTATGAACCATATGCTCGCCAAATTGTTAAGCTACACGTACACCAAGATCGCGATCGATCGGTCAGTGCAAGATCATTTGGAGCTTGAAATTTTAGCGGAAATTTTGATGTTCTTGGTTGGTTCTTTACCGTGGGGATGATGAACTTGCCGGTGAGGAGGCAGACGGCGGGGATGGTGCAGTAGGCGAGGAGGGGAATGGAGGTGAAGGGGTAGACGATGGTGTTGGTGTAGGCGAAGCGCTCGAGCCACTTGAGGCGGCCGCCATAGGCGTACCAGAGCGGGCAATGGCGGCTCATGAAGATCTCGACGGAGCCGAGCGCCCACCGGAGCACCTGGTGCAGACGATCCGACAGGTTGATGGGCGCCGACCCCTTGAATGCCGCCCTCGCCGGCGTGCAGTACACCGACTTCCACCCACGGCAATGCATCTTGAACCCCGTTAAGATGTCCTCCGTCACCGACCCGTAGATCCACCCAATCTGCAAGAATTTTGATTTTTGGTTAGCTTCGATCATCTTCCTCGAGCTTGAAAATGGTGGAGATTTTTTGATGGATTACCTCCTTGCCCCACTCGGTCTTCTCCTCGTAGCCGCAGCTGATGACGTGGATGGCCTCCTTGATGAGGGCGGCGGGGTCGGCGGCGGCGCCCTGGGGGAGGCCGCCGTCCTCGACGAGGGTGGAGGCGATGAACACCGGCGACTGGCCGAACCGCTTCTCGAAGCTCTTCTGCGACATGAGCGACGAGCGCTCCAGCTCGTCGTACCCCTCGAGGCCCTCCTCGATCTCCTCCAGCTCGAACCCGCGCTGGTGCTTCCGGTACCCTTTCTTCCCTCCGGCGAGCGACGCCGCGCCGCCGCCGAGCTTGTCCTTCTTGCTCCTCTTCTTGTAGAACCCGAGCAGCCCGCGGCGCGGCTCGTCGAGGCCGCCGCCCTCGCCGCCGCCGCCGCCCTTCTTGTTCTTGTGCGACTTGCCGCGCTTCCCCCCGCCGAAGCAGCAGCAGCAGCAGCACCACGACGGCCAGCAGTCGCACGTCATCTTCGGCCTCTTCTCCGGCCGCGGCGGGTCGTATCCGTACAGCGCCTGCCTGTTGAACACCGTCCCCGTCCCCACGTACACCGGCCCCTGTATCCCGTCCAGCCCCTTCATGTTGATCTGCACATCAAACGACACCATCGTTAGCTCACGTCACGGCGCGACGCACGCACGCCGGAGAAGAAGGCAGTGCTCACGTCGAAGAAGACGGTGTTGCGGTTGGCGTAGCGATCGTGGCGGTCGATGCCGTCGAAGCGCTGGGGGAACTGGACGTAGCACAGCTTCTTGCCGAGCTGCTTGTCCATGAGGAAGCACATGGCCTCGCGGACGGCCTTGCTGTTGTTGACGTAGTGGTCGCAGTCGAGGTTGAGGATGAAGGGGGCGTTGGTAAGCACGGCGGAGACGCGAACGAGGGAGTTCATGGCGCCGGCCTTCTTGTGGTGGTTGTAGCCGGGCCGCTTCTCGCGGGACACGTACACCAGCCGCGGCAGCTCGCTGCCCTCGACGTCGAGCGCGCCCTGGCTGCCCAGGTACACCTGGATCATCCCCGGGTGGTCCCTCGTGTTGTTCCCCGGCCATGGCGTCCCGTCCTGCATCACCCACCCTTCCTCCGGCTTCTTCTGCGCCTTCGCCACCAGCGCGTTTATCCTCACCTTGAACTCCTCATACTCTCTCTGTCACATCAAGAGTAGGTGTTAAAAAACTTATAGACGATCTAAACTGGATGACAACATCGAGAAGGGATATATCGGTAACGAAGTTTAGCCATAGCCTACATCTCCAAAAACAGACTGATCACGAGATGCTCCAATTGAATGAGGGTTCAAAATTACATAACATAATTTTTGACATTTCAGTTCTATTGGACAACCTGATATGATATTATTTCGGACGAAACTTTTAAATGTTTTTCAAATTTTTGTGAATTTGATAATATTTATTCAAATTTTAATCATTTTTTTTCAAAATAAAATAAAATAATTTTGGATCGAAATAACCGGCTATATCGGTCCCCCCAACACAAATGCCTAAAACAATATATTAAACCCTTGAATCCGGTATATCCACGACACTCAACCCGCAGATGGAGTGGAGAAGGTTTACCTTCATGGCGCGGCGTTCTTTGACGAAGGTGGGCTGGACCTTGTCCTTGAGGTAGTCGATCTTCTGGGAGAAGTAGAACTCGGGGGCGCGGGGCTCGATGGTGAACTTCTTGCAGAAGGGGACCCACCGGCGGGCGAACTCGGCGGTCTCGGAGAGCGTGTCGAAGAGCAGCATGGACGCGCCGTCGTCGGAGACGTAGCAGGAGACGCGGTCGACGGGGTAGTCGACGGCGAGGATGGACAGCACGGTGTTGGCGGTGATGATGGGCGGCTCCTTGAGCGGGTCCACCGTGCTGACGAAGAAATCGATCGGGGCCAGGCGGCACGGCTCGCCGTCGCGCTCGTACCGGAGGGCCAGCCGGTCCAGGTACGTCTCCCTCGTCACCGGCGACCACTTGGGCAGCTGGTCGAGGATCCACGACAGCGCGAACCACAGCTCGCAGATCACCGAGGCCAGCCACAGCGGCACCGCGTCCATCGCCGGCGTCGTGATCCGGAACTTGAGGAAGAAGCAGAGCACCACCAGCCGGAGCACGATCACGATCCGGTACGGGTTGATCTTGCTCGACGGGATCGGCACCTTCCTCCACAGCGGCTGCCTCGCCTCCGCGAGCCTGCATGCAGAAATTCGATCATCACGATCATGCCAAAGTTCACAAGATTTGAAAAATCTGAGGTCGATCGATAGATAGATCTTTGGAGAGCTAAGCTTACAGCATGTACTCGTCGTCGTTCTTGTCGTCGTCGTCGTCGCTGTCGTCGCGGTTGAGCTTGCCCCGCTTCTCCTGCTTCGTCTTCCACTTGTCGATCCTGTCCTTCCACTCCATGCCACCCTCCATCTCCCTCTCCTGCTCCAGATCCTTCCCAGCCACTGCAATTTCACAGCAATCCACACACACATCTTCAGATGAATTGTTACACCAAGAAACGCAATTTCTTGCGGGATTTGAGTACCGACCGCTTCCGGTGAAGGAAGAGAGCGCCGGGCCTCCAGGGCGCCACTTCTGTGCCGGCTGCTCGCCGTTCTCCTGCAAGACAAAGGTTGTATACAGGTTTCGCATCAGTTTACAAGCACTTGATTGCAGAGCAATTGCAGTGAGAAATCAATGGCGATGGATCGATCGAGTCGAGTTGAGCTCTCACCGAGTAGACGTCGAAGTTGACGGGCTCGTGGGGGGGTTTCTGCTTGGTGGGGCTCTTGATCTGGAACTCCTCCTCGAAGTCGTCCATGTCGCCGCCGTCGTCCTCGTCGCCTTCCACCCGTGGGCACCCTGCGACCGATCGATCGAGACAGACAGACAGACATTCTTGTCAAGCTCGATCTTGTGAACTAAATTGCGATTGATCACATGGACACAACACATGATGTTACCTTTGTGGCGCTTGTAGCGGGTGTTGCACTGGGGGCAGCACTGGGTGCCCTCGCTGCGCTCGTACTCGTAGCAGGGCTTGCACACCGGGAAGCCGCACTCGGCGCACGCCACGAACGGCTTCCCGTCCTCCCTCGCCGCCACCTCCTCGCCGCACACCCGGCACGTCTTCTCCTTCCCCTTGTGCTCGCCACCGGTGACGGAGGCGGTGTCCATGGTGAGGTGCCGGGGAAGCGACGTTGGTGGGCGAGGAGGAGGCGGCGGCTAGCTAGGTGATATAGCAGCTGGTTGATGATCAGATGCAGGGAGGCGGGGGCGGTAAGGTGGCGGGGTGGCGTCCCGCACCAACCGTGAGTTGGGGCGTCCCGGTTTGATTAGAGCGCAAGCCAAGGCACGCACGCACGCGGCCGCGCGCGCCATGCATTGCTCGCTTCGGAAGCAAGCCGCCGCTGCCGATGCTGCTGCTGCTGGAACGAGATCGTCGTAAGGTGAGATCGCAACGAGACGCGAGGGAAATGTGTTGGAGGGGTCGTAGTGCAGCTGAAGCAAAATCGAAGGCCAACGGTGAAGGGACGTGGATGTGTTTGGTGGGTGGGTTGCGGTGACGCCTCACCGTTTTTCTGGTGAGATGGTGCAGGGGGGAGATCCGGGCCATCCGGCTCGTGTAAGCGTTAAGTCACTGCGTGTATAAATGGCAGACGGTAGGAGGAAGGCCATCTGAACCTGTCAAGTGAGATGAAATCCTGCGATGCTGGCGTTAACACGCATTGCGATTCAGGGAGGCTCTGGTGTAGCAGCACGCCGACACACACACACACACACTCTTTCTCGGTTCAAACGTGAGCGTGACCAACACATATCAGGTTAGCCATCTAGGACAAACTAGACTCGAGGCCCCGAGAGCCAACATCAGCTAGATTTTTGTTTTTTTTTATGTTTCACGTTTTCAGTACGAATCAGGTGTGCAGTGAGAAAAGCAATGGATTGATGCTTGCATTAAAAAGGGTAAGTAGTGTACACCATCCAGTAAGAATATGCCGTGTAAGCAGATCGCAATGCCATGGCTCCTCTTGATTGTCAATGTATGTTACGAGCAAAATTAAGTGGCGTACAAACTCCTCAACATCTTTGTATCTTTTACCATAAGCTATCAGAGAGGAAAGCAACACAATAGGTCGGAAAAATTGCCTCGGACAACAACACTAGCTGAGGCTGTAAAGAACAGGCGCCGGTATCGGCACACCACTCGATGGCCACTATCCAAGCTGCAACGTTTTGCGGTGACTTACACGTTGTACCGTCCACCTCTGCTTGGTTTCTCCCTCTTGGCGTCATCCTGCATTGAAGTTGAAGCACCATCCAAATAGAATGAGCTATGGACGTATTTGATCTATTCTACAGGTGACTAAAAAATAATATGTTATTGAGACAACAAAAATAGTCTAAACACATACATGGAAGCTGTAGACCATCTTATCATTGTAGTCAACAATCTCCTTCCATTTCTTGCCAATGTTTACCTGCAAAGCAAAGGCATGTTAGTTTTCTCTAGTTATCATTGGTCTATGGTTGAAGCCATGTTTCAAAAGGTAATGCTCAAATCTCAAAAAAAAACACATATAGAGATGTCCTTTGAATGCACAGACCTGTGGTAACAATGAAAAATTTATGAAGTGCAGAAAAAAGAGACAGGATGGTTGAAGAGTTAGGGAATTACAAAGCGATTGCTTCATTGCAAAATGTGAAACGTTTTAGTACTATTATGGTGCTCATCAATGCAAACCAGCATTGATGTTGTGTTTATGTTTTTGTTATCATACCAATGCAATATATCACTATATCAGAAACAAAATAGATGGCAATCATAATGGATGCATCAACCATCAATAGTATTGCATGATGTGGGCACCAGATGACTTTAAGAGTCTTGAGTCTCTTTGACACGGCATCAAATTACCTAATAGGGATTTAGCTCACACAATAGGCTTTATCAAGCATAGCTTAAATTGACTGAAAGTCAAATCAAACAAAATAGTTCTCTACTCAAGACAGAAATAAATTGTTCCAATAAAACAAGCAGATAAATGGTATCAAATAAGATATGGAACTCAGAAAAGCAAACAAAATGTAAAGTCTAGCCTACCATCAAATACTTGTCAACTGTATCCCAAATAAATTGAGCAAAATTAGTGAAGTGGACAAATTTGATGAACAGAATACTAAAGAGAACATGGCAGCTTTGAACAACATGTTTAATGTTGACTATAGAGGTGGTGGGAAAACAATGTACTACAGATTAAATTGCTTGCTACATCAAATATATGAGCAAATACACTCATATTGTTATACTACAGTATTTTTCAAAAAACCAACCTGAACGGCTTCATTGCTGGCAGTCCTAGTCCACAATGCAAGCTTGTCTCCTCTCTGGCGGACACTAGCAACAACTCCACAAATTTCCTCACTTTCATCAAACTGCTCTCCAATCAGAGCCATCAGCTGCATGTTCGAAAAGTTTGTCAGCAGAAATGATAGAAACTTTAGAAGATAGGTCAAGCAACAGATGTTATATCCAAAGCACTTCAGAGCCTCCGACCAAACTAAGCAATGATTTTAGAGGAAATGTACCGTTTCAAGCCACATGTTCTCAAGGGTGGTCTTCCTGCTACATGGCACAGTCCATTTGCCCCCATTTGCACACTCTGGGTCTTCCCACTTTGGTTCTACACCAGCCTTGAATAAATGAAAATCAGCATTTACTGTCACCTTGCTTGGACGGAAAATCTGATCATACAAGCTGCAGCAAGAAATAAGGGGATTTAAATGAAAGGAAGATCATGCCTGCACATATAGGATAAAAGGACAATCAAATTCAAAAGTATCCGATAATAGGCAGGAATACCTACAGTAAGAACTTGCCAAAACATAGAAAAAATACAACAGAGTAATTAATACCTACGCCTCCATGTGCCCACAATATTGAATGTCATTCTAGTTGTAAGTCTCAAAAGGTATAACTATTTTTCTTATCTTTAGACACAAAAAAAAAAGTCGCATGCAAGCTTGAATAATAAATAAACAACAAAGATAGTTGTGTTCATATGTTGTATAATTGCTACCCTTGTACATTTAACCACATTAAAAGTCCCGGAACATCCATAAAAGAAGCTAGAAAATATACTCCATGCAGCATGTATGGAAATAAGACAACTCTATCAACAGCTGGTTCAGCAATACGAGGCCTTCGAGAAATCTTAAACATTCTAGTCTATCAACAGCTGGTTCAGCAATACAAAGCCGTAGAGAAATCTGAACATTCAAAATCAGTTGTTACGACTATGCGGGAGGGGACAATTGTTGTTTATAAGACACAACAAACGACCAGGGTTGCACTTCGGGAAACAAGCATCCAGACAATCCCTAAACATCAGTAATCCACGATGCAGCCTACACTTAAAATCAGCTCCAAAGTAATCAGCATCGATGCATTGTAGTAATTAGATCTGACGAAAACTGCAGCCAACGATAGCATCAACAAACATATCAGCGAAAAAAAAAACTAACCGAAGTACCCTCTAATCATTCTAGATTGTGCTCGCATGGGAATAATCAGAACCCCCGATCTACACCACCAGAAATACCCACGGCATAGCCACTAAATCAAGCATATGAGCTACCAGACAGGATCAAAACACAGAAAGTAGATCAGATCCGAAGACCGGGAAACGGATCGGGCAAGGGCTTAGGGCGCTTCATCGGCACGTACCCCCAGAACTCCTCGACGGTGTCGAAGGTGTAGGCCTTGCGGAGCGAGGTCCCCCACGCGGCGCCGGGCTTGGGCTTGGACTGGATGTCGTACCAGAACGCCCACTGCCTATGCAGCTTGTGCGGCGCCTTCGCCGCCGCCGCTCCCTCCGCCGCCGCCACCTCCGGGGTCTCCGCCGCCGCAATCGGCGCTGCCTCCACCTCAGCCATGTCCGCTCCGCCGCCGCCGCCGCCGCCTCTGCTCCTCCTCGAGGGAAAACGAACGAGTAGGCGATGCGAGAGAGAGAAGAGAAGGGAGAAGCCGCCGCCGCCGCCGAGGGGAAAGAGAAGGAGAAGGGGAAGAAGGTTTCGGCTTCTGGATATGGCCGCGTTGGCGAGGGAGATGTGCTGCGTTTTCACCTGGGCTACGACCCCACGATGCCACTAGAGGCCCGGTCCGGCCCGTTTATAACGGGACGCAAGTACATCGCAGTCTCCTTGTGGCCCATATAGATGGGCCTCACGTGAAACGAAACCCATTCCCGACACAAATAAAATGGGCCTCATGTGCACCGAAGGTCCCTCAACTTGTCATCGAGTTACAAAATCGTCTCCCAACCGCAAAACCAGATATCGGGTATCCCTTAACTAACAAAACCATTCGTTTTAGGTCCTTCGGTGGTTTTGACCTCGGTTTTATCCGACGTGGCGGCTGAGTCAGCGTGGGACCCACATGTCAGCGTGGCCATGTCAGCCTCCTCTCTCTTTTCCCCTCTTCTCTGCCTTCCTCATCTCTCTCTCTTCTCAGCGAGATCAACAGTGCAAGGCGGCAACGCTGGGGGAGCGGCGCGCAGGCGACAGGGGGAGGAGTTGCGGGCGGTAGGGGAAGGAGCGGCGCGTGGGCGGTGGGGAAAGGAGCGGCACGCGGGCGGCGGGAGGAGGATGTGATATCCCAGCTCAAGGCTTAATAGGATTAATAGAATACTCATATCTTGCAACTTCTTTTCCGGAAGCCGGTCTCGAAAAAACTCTGAGATTAAGCGTGCTTGGCCTAGAGCAATTTTGGGATGGGTGACCGACCGAGAAATTCTTCTTAACCTAGAGCAATTTTGGGATGGGTGACCGACCGGGAAATTCTTCCCGAGTGTGCATGAGTGAGAACAAAGTGTGCAGAAAAGACTAGTGTTGGTTTGTGAGGGCAGTCTATATCCTAGGAAAGCTGCCAGATGTAGAAAGGGCCCGGCCTCGGAGAGTGTGGGGGCGTCACATATGGTATCAGAGCCGACTCTTGTAGCTATACGTATATATGAATATGCACGCGGGCATACAGTGTATACGGGATGATCCACGATGTGGTCGTATGGTATGACGTATGTGCGCCGAAAAATGTCTGCATATACGTGGTGCTAATAGGAGACATTCCTGGCCTGGGTTGACCGACGAGGACGTCGGTATCTTAAGGGGGTGAGAATGTGATATCCCGGCTCAGGGCTTAATAGGATTAATAGAATACTCATCAACAAGTTGCAACTTCTTTTCCGGAAGCCGATCTCGAAAAAACTCTAAGGTTAAGTGTGCATGGCCTAGAGCAATTTTGGGATGGGTGACTGACCGGGAAATTCTTCCCGGTGCGCCTCAGGTTCTTCCTCCCCCCGCGCCGCGCTCGCCTGCCTCCCCCCCTCCCGCTACGCTCACCTGCCGCCGCCGCCCCTTCCTAAGCTAGTTCGGGGTTCTTCCTCCCCCCCCGGCCCCTTCCTAAGCTAGTTCGGGTTCTTCCTCCCCCCTGCGCTCGCCTGTCGACGCCGCCCCTTCCTAAGCTAGTTCGGGTTCTTCCTCCCCCCGCGCCGCGCTCGCCTGCCGCTGCCGCCGCTTTCACTTGTTCTGCCCGCCCTTTTGGTGCAGTGAGCAGTCCTGCTTCGCCCCGCCCTTTCCCGGGTCCGCCCCTTCCTAAGCTAGTTCGGGTTCTTCCTCCCCCCGCGCCGCGCTCGCCCGCCGACGCCGCCGCTTCGCTTGTTCTGCCCGCCCTTTTGGTGCAGTGAGCAGTCCCGCCTCGCCCCGCCCCGCCGCCACCCTCGTCTCCCGCGTCGCTCCGTCAACCAGCCTACGCCCCTGCACAGAGAAGTGAGAGAAAGAAGGGAGAGAAGAGGGGAAAGAGATAAGGTGTTGATGTGGACACCCTGACCATGTGAGGCCAGCGTGGGTCCCACACTGACTCAGCCGCCACGTCAGATAAAACCAGGGTCAAAACCACCGAAGGACCTAAAGTGAACAGTTTTGTAAGTTGAGGGATGTCATATATCTGGTTTTGCGGTTGGGGGACGATTTTGTAACTCGATGACAAGTTGAGGGACCTTCGGTGTACTTTTTCCACACCGTTATGCCGTTCCAGCCCAACACGTCTGTCATAGGTTCATCCAAAATTCCACAAATCATGCTCACAGCATCATACTTTTTCCACACCGTTATGCCGTTCCAGCCCAACACGTCTGTCATAGGTTCATCCAAAATTCCACAAATCATGCTCACAGCATCATAAACACATGACATCCAAAATTCCACAAATCATGCTCACAGCATCATGATAGATTCAGAAACACAAGAAGTTTTCCTTGAGAGAGATGAGAGTGAAATATCTATGGCTGCGTTCGGTAGAAGTAGTTCCCAACCCATCTCTCTCGTTTTCCGTGCGCACGCTTTTCAAACTGCTAAACGGTGTGTTTTTTAAAAAAAGTTTCTATACGAAAGTTGCTTTAAAAATTCATATTAATCCATTTTTCAAAAAAAATTAGCAAATACTCAATTAATCATGCAATAATAGATACTTCGTTTTGCGTGCCGGGGAGGAGGGGTTCCTAACCCAACCCCTCCTCCCGAACAGAGCCATAAGCTTTCGATGACTTTCATATTTGATACAGTTGGGCAAGGACCTCTCAAATTGTGTAACCAGTCACCTCGTCAAAGTGACATTTGTACAGTAATTGCACATCAGTACCAAAATCTCGAGCTGTGCATGTTTTTTTGATTTCAACAGAAGAAAACGAATACAAGCTTTGTATGAACATAGAATTTCCTAACGGGGGAAGAATCAACAGCACTGTTCTTGAGTAGATGGCCATGCCTTGAGTGTCAGAAGGGCTGAGTTCCTTGTGGTCTGTTCAACAAAAATGAATAGCTGCATAGTACGATTCTTTATATCCGGCTTCCCCTGATCTTTGGGGAGAAGAGTGTGTTCTGTCTAATCAAACTACAAATCATGAAAGAGGCGTCTGATTTGTTCTACTGTGGCAGGCATCAATGTGATGGGGCACCTTTTATGCTGTAGAGCAAAACAAAATCAAATTAGCGACTGATTGGTGGCTAAGATAAATAGATTGTGGGTTGCTTCTTTCTGATCATAATAATGGAAAGCTTCTTTGTGACAGTAATCTACCTGGGAGACTGACTTAAAAATGCAACTGTAGCAGAATACAAAACCAGAAGCAGAAAGAACAGAAGGGTTATTGCGCTTCTGGCAGCATAAGGGGCACAATGTCCTGTCAGGGGGCAAGGGAAGTCCATCTTTAGCAACCTGATGAAAGAAGTAGACGCTCAAATCAAACAGTAGTCATATAAAGAACTATTAAACCACAAAATATATCCAACTGCACAGTGGCAAAACAAAGAGTTCTGTTCACCATGTTACTGCAAATTGAGATTTCAGACAAGGGTAACTGCTTTCTGCATATATTGACTAGCATATAACATGTACCTTTGGCAGAGGTGGAGGAGGGGGTGGGGGATATACAGTCGGAGCTGACATTCTTTCCTCAGCAGATTGATACCACCATTCCATCATCTAGATAAGATCACGAGATAGAGAACATTAAGCGAAGCACGATGGGGGATCATGTTTTTTCATCATATTACATCCATTGTAGGGAGAACTGAGAAGATTAAAGATAAAGAGAGTGTGCAAGGAAAAACAAATTTGACCACCGAGACAAACGAAGAACTTGGGTTCCTAGAGCAGAAATTGGAGAGCTGACCTTGAAAAAGAAAACTGCAGCAATCAAACCAGTTTGTGCATAATCTAGGCTAGTGTACATACAGTTAAGTAACACCCTTTGCATGGTCTGCAGGGATAATATTAAAATATTAGTGTTATGCGCCATTATTAAATGACTCAAACTTGAGCAAATCCACTATATGAGTAGTGATACAATCCTTTACTACCTTCAGCCATGGAGGACCACGAAGTCTCTCAAGTTCTCGATTTCTGATTCTTGATACCCTAGAAGATGATTCCATCTAATTTTTCAAGAAAAAACAATAGAAAATAAATTAGCAAAATAAAGGCTAACCATCTCTAAATATGAAAACTTAACCCAATTTGATATCTGATATGTTTTCTTGGATTTTAAAAAAGGACAATGGTCTGCATGGAGAAATCATAATCATAAGAAAGAAAAAGGGCATTTGTATCAAGGTAATAGGATTAGAAATAGGCTTCTGCATATTTGAGCTAACCAATAGTCAAGGACACAAATTAGTAAGTAACTAAGTATCAAATACCAGCTCTTGTCCTGTAGCACGACAAACATGAAGCCCAAGAGCATGCAGTGCTGGACTATAAAATGCAGTACCATCCAACAAATACAGCAACTGGTAAGCAAATGAGAGACCTGCAAATCAATTTTAAGACCTGATAAGTAAAAATTATGGCAACCGTATAGCCCATCTGATGAAACAAACAAATCAGCGGTGCACAGCTATGTAATTGAATTTGTATAAAACATGAGTTACATCCACACACAGCAAAACAAAAGGATTAAGACAATAAAAAGTAGGTTATACAAAATAAGCTAAAGCTGGGCCGCTGGAATGATCTCATTCTTTATTGGTCTTTAACTGAGAATAATGCACTTGTAATAAGATGTCTAAAATCAATAGATACAGAAGAAAGCTGGAACACTTATGATTTATGCAAGGTGTCTAGGCATAAGGGTAGTTAACCTTCATTGGTCGCATGAATCCATGGATAGCAAACACCTATTAATGCCGCAAAATTCTTCTTAATACGTGCCATATTTGATACTTCTCCAGTTGTAGCCTCGACTTGTGCTTGAGAAGTCTCCCCTTGATCTGAAACAAGGTCAGCTTCATCGAATCTAACATCACCCTGACCCCAAAGGCTTGCCTGCAACCTGGCCTCCCTTTCTTTGTTATATATGGACTGCAGCTTTGACTTGAAATATGGCAAAACAACCTACAAACATATTAAGAACACCATAAAAAAAATATTCCAAACCTGAGAAATTTCATCATAACATAAATAAAATGTGACACCCATTTTTTATGAGCATTTTGATAGTGATATCCATATGTTTGTCGTTTTACTTGAGTCACTGAGGTAGCACATGAAATTGTATCATAAATGCCAAAAATAACAACTTCATCAAGAGCATCGCTAATACATTTAACAACTACACTAAGTTTTGGTGCTGAATACGCATTAAAGGATAATAGACCAAAGCAAGATTGAAGACTCGAAACTTTTTTTTCTAATCTGCACCAACTTTCAATAAGAAAATAACTGAACACAGAGATCCAGTAAGAGCATCGTAGCTTGTAACTAAAGCAAAAGGACATTCTGTATTCATACTGGAGTAGTACATAGTAAAAATAGACTAGGCATTGGTGTCAGTTGTAAAACGTTGATAAACAAGGCCAGCTTTAATAAAAGAGCAGCTCAGGGCACATAATAGAACCATGCAAAATCACACAAGGTTAACATATGGGTTAGATTTGTTTCTAGGTGTTCAACTCTTGAAGTCATGATAAACCAATTTAATCAAATTGGTAGAGAGAGGTACTGTTTTCGTAGATTTTGATAGTAGCTGCATATGCAGAGTAGCAAGACAGAACAGCTCAAAAGTATTTACCACGAAAACAACAAAGCCAATACCAAAAAAAAAAAGCAGTAATATTTGACACTAAAGCTGCTTGCTGCTAAACGACATCATACCAAAAAAACAACAGAAAGGACTTTCTGGCGCTTCCTTAGAACAGAATCATAGGCTTTATCATTGGATTCTGCACCAGAACTACTTCTCTTTACTGAAACCTTAACAGGTCTCCGCCTGAGACCATACAATGACTCCGAAAAAGAACCATCTGAAAAAAAAAACCTGGACAGTTATAATCACAGAGGCGTTGAGATGTCTCAAAGAAAAGTTAGTACAAAGGTCATGAACACAGCAAATCCTTTACAGCAAAAGAACCTTATGTTTCTGTGATGACAAACCTGTCGTTCGCAAACTATGGGACTCAAGGACAGCCATTAACAAGGCAAAGAATTCATCCTCGTAATCTAAAACTTTATGTAACAACGGCCGTCTTAGTGCAAAAACCTGTGAGTAATAGTATGAGTTAGTTAGAACTCTATTTAAGAGGCATGATGTACTAAAATTAAACACACACACAAAGTGATATGTTCAAGAATTTAGAGAAAGCATCAGCTGAAAAAATGACTCCTCTAGTCACAAGTTTTTCCCCTTATTAAAAATGGTGCATATACTACATTAAACTCTGCTTTATCGCTCTCCATTGTTGAGACACTTTTTTCAAACAGGTAGTAGTAAAAGCGCAATTACATACTTAACTGCCTGTGCAAGAATCACAAAGCGCAATTACATACTTAACTGCATGTGCAAGAATCTTTGTGAACCAGATAGAGCAGAATTTGTATCATGCTTTTGACAGTATGTTGTGCTAGGTAAAGGTCCAACCTTGTGTAGGGCAATCCAAAAACTTCCATTCCGCATGTAATCCTCTTGGCTATTTCGTGCCCAGTGCACACTGTTTTTTAGTACTTTTTAACAGTATTATTGGAGTTTCTTCGTAATATACTTCTACATACGTTCCACAGATGCTCTACAAAACACTTCACCTTCAGTTTGTTGGGATGCTATTCTAATTGCATCATTTGGTCACATTCAATTTGTTCTTAAACATGTGATATACAACAACCAATTTAATATTATTTGTATAGAAAAATGAACAGCATCATGTGAGCTCAATGTCCTTTAAAAGAAGTTTGCTCAAAACTACATATAGCAATGATCCCAATGAATCAACCCAATTCAGTGCAGCTAGCCAAACAACCTAAAGAGCTGTAATATCCATCAGCAGAAGAACCAACTTCTGTGACTGCGAATTGCATATACAAAACTAGCACTGATCAACTATACTCCGAGCTTGCACCAGTAACCAACAGAATCTGGCACAGAAACAAATAAAACAACAACCCAGAGCCCGCACCATTCAATCATCTCCAACTCCTCAAGCTAGACCACTACAATGCGCAGGAAGCCAGCATCGTCGAGTGACACTATAATTTTCTATCACCCCCTAGAAACCCCAGACATCTAAACAAATTACAGCCACGAAGTCAAAACACCCTTATCCCGAGCGATTTGGATCGAATTTGGAGGAGATGAGGAGAGGGGCGGGGGCGAGGCGAGTTCATCCACTTTACCCCGAGCGAGTAGGAGAGCGCGGCGCGGAGGCTGGCCGGCAGCTGCTGCGCGGCCGACATCTCGAAGAAGGTGGGCCGCGCCCCCTGCCCTCCCACCTGGAACAGCATCCTGCCTCCTCCTCCTCCCCCGGGCTAGGCTCGGCCGGCTAGGGTTCCCGCTGCCTCTTCCCCGGCAGCGCGACTCGGCCTAGCTGCGGGTGGATCCGCCGGAGTTGCCGCCGCAGCCGCCGGTTAGTGTAGTCCTCGGCGTCCACGGCGGTGTGTGTGCGTGTGGGAGAGAAAGGAGAGGCGAGGCGCAAAAGAGAAGCCTTGAGGGAGACGGGACGGGGGTGGTGACGTCACGAGGCGACGATGGGCCGGGCTTAGAGAGGATGATGGGCTCTTCTGTCGATGGGCCTTCTCAGGAAAACGATGGGCTCTTCAGCAACATCCAGTTCATGCAAATACAAAGGGGCTCATTAATTATTTGAGGGCAACTACAAAACGGGATCCCGTTGCAACGGGACAGGCATATTAACTATTCTCTTGCACGAGTATCACAGGTATCAGGTTTTAGGTATCACAGGTACCGGGTAACAGGTATCAGGTACCATGCAGCTAGTACCACAACAGATATCAGGTATCCGATACTGTCTTATAGAAGGTATCGCGTTCCAACGGGATACCATTGTCTTGGTTTTCTGTAATTATTTCGCTTATATTTATACTTATAAAGCTAAGATTAAAAAAACTTAATTTTAAATTTGATTTTTATTAGTTCATTATTGTTTATTTTACAGCATTTGTTTTTAATTCACTAAGAATATATACATAAAAATTTTACTTACAAATAACTTTTTATTCACTAATAAGCATTTCGGATAAACATATTAATAAGCGAAACAATGGAGAATATGGTGCTTGAAAGCTGCAGCTAAAGATTTTTTTAAAAAAGTAAAAATCTCCATTAGTTTTGTGACCAGCTAGATAAGTACTCAGACATTGCACTGTCTAATCCATGGCAATAGCGACCTGTATATATATGAACAATAGTACAATGTGTACAAAATCACAAATGTGCTAGCAGAACTTGTATTGGACTTGGATCCCCCTGACTCTAGCAATGGCAAGAGGCAGAAGAAGTTTCTCTAGCTAACTATAAGATATAGGAGCCAGAGAAGCGAGGCCGTCATCGAAGTTGCGGGAGTAGCTCTCCAGGCTGTACCCGAACCTCGCCGCGCCGCCGGCTTTCTTCCCCGGCTGCGTCGACGCCGAGCTCCTCCACTTTGACCTCAGCTTCCGGTACAGTTGCCTCACCGGCCGCGCCATCGCCACCGCTGCCAACCGCCGCCTCTCCACGCCACCCGTCGACGACGCGGCCGTCCTCCTCCGGCTGCCACAGCCGCCGTAAAGCCCCAACAGAAACACCATCTCTTATATCTAGCTCCACAGTATACAGACTACAGTGCGGGATCTTTTTTTTTTAAACCCCACGGGGTATATTTGTATTAAAGAAGGGGAAACACTGTACAATAGCCAAAAAGGCTAGGAGATTACAAGAAAAAAGAAAGTGAGAAAAACGAGGGTGGGTGGGGTGTAGCTACTAGAAGAGACGTATGATTTTGATTAGTCGATTACGTGGCGTCGTCTGCACTTCCATGGTTGCTCGGTAGTAGGCATTGGAGGCTTTTTGCCCTGCCTGCGTGCCAAAGCCAGATCTCGTTAGTCGCTCGGTCAATGATTCCCTGCAGCGGAGTCTCTATGCTTCTGAATACCCTACTATTTCTTTCTTTCCAAATTTCCCAGGATAGTAGGGTAAGGATTGATTTGACGCCCTTCCTTTTCTCCTTTGTCATTGCGCGAACGGTCTGAGTCCACCAGTCCTCAAGGGATGTCGTCTTGGTCCAATTTACTGGCCGTAGTTGGGGGACAACCAGCCTTGTCGCTATAGCATCTCATATTGCTCTTGTGATCGGGCATTCATAGAAGAGGTGGTGTGCCGTCTCTAGGTTCCTAAAGCATAGTTGGCAGAAGTAGTTGTTTGGCCACTCCCTCTGCTGCAGCCTATCAGCCGTCCATATTCTATTTTGAAGGAGCAGCCAGGCAAAAAAATTGCATTTGGACGGTGCCCAACACTTCCAAACTGCAGTTGCCGATAATGATAGGATGCTGCCCAGGAACTGCATTTGATAGGTTGACTTTTGCTGTATAGGATCCGGTTGGTGTCCATTTCCATTGTATGCTGTCTTGGACACCTTGGGATAGGGTAGTGTTTGATTCCCAAAGTATCTCGAAAACCTTGAAGAACTCCGTGACGAGCATTGATGTCAAGTTGTGTCTGATGTCATTGATCCACTTATTGTCCTGTAGGGCATTTGCAACAGTCCTTTTCTTCCTTCTAGCATGACGGTAGAGGTTTGGTGCCATTGTCTTTAGTGGGGAGCTGGATACCCAAGGGGATTCCCAGAAGAGCGCCTTCCTGCTGTCCCCGATGGTCACCGTTGTGGATGCTGCAAAGAGCTCGGCGTCCTGTTCGTCACATGGGGTTGGCATACCAATCCACGGTTTGTCTGGGAAGGTCCATTCGTACCACAGCCATCGTAAATGGAGGGCCCGTCCCATCTTGGTGAGGTTCGAGACCCCCAGGCCACCATACTTGATCGGTCTGCAAACTCGCTGCCAATTCACCTTGCACTTGCCACCGTGGAACTCATCGCCACCGTCCCAAAGAAATTTTCTTCTTGCTTTATCAATTTCTTGGATTATTTGCTTTGGAATCTTGAGCGCTGTCATGACGTAGATTGGCATGGAGCTTAGTACTGAGAGTACTAGCTCTCTTCTGCCCCCGGCTGAGAGGAGTTTCTTTTTCCAACTGGCAAGTCGTGCCTTGATTCGGTCAATTAAGTATTGTAGGTGGACCTTGCGCAGTCTGCTTACAGTGAGGGGCATTCCTAGGTACTGCATTGGAAAGACTCCACGTGGGCGGTGAAATTGTGTAGAACCTCGTCGAGGTCAACCGCGTCGCAGCTTATTGGAAGCACTGAGCTTTTTTGTAGGTTGACTTGGAGGCTGGTTGCTCCCCCGAAACCGTTTAGGATCAAGATTAGGCTATCCACATCTTGGCGAGATGGCTTGATGAAGATTGCCGCGTCATCAGCATCTAGGGAGCACCTGAAGCGCGCGCTGCGATCCGCTAGCTCGCTTAGGTGGCCTTCGTCAGTTGCTATCTTGAGGAGTCTGTGCAGAGGGTCCATTGCAAGGATGAACAGGTACGGAGATAGGGGGTCCCCCTGTCTTAACCCCCTTCGATGGTCGATCCTTTCCCCCTCAATACCATTTAGAGAGACTCTGGAGGAGGAGGCTGAGAGGATCAACGCCACCCAGTCGCGCCATTTGGCGCTGAAGCCCATTCTCTCTAGGAGTATTAGCAGGTATTCCTATGAGACCGAGTCGAAGGCCTTGGCAATGTCCAACTTGAAAAAGAGGGTGGGTTTCTTGGATCTGTGCATTTTCCTTGCCAAATTGGAGACGTAAAGGAAGTTGTTTTGGATGCAACGCGTTTTGATAAAACGCACTCTGGGCTTACGAGATTAGACCGTTGATCTGTCTGGACAGACGGATTGCCAGGATCTTTCCCAACAACTTTGCCAGGGATCTTAATTAATTTCTTCCTCACGGCTCACTCAGAACAGAGGTATTTCCTCCGTTTCAAAATGTAAGACATTTTAGCATTTTCCACATTCATATTGATGTTAATGAATCTAGATAGATATATATGTCTAGATTCATTAACATCAATATAAATATGAGAAATACTAGAATGACTTACATTGTGAAACGGAGGGAGTAGCTAACTGCAAGTCTGCAACTCGATGGCCTCGTTTCTTCGCCTCCTTCCACCTGCGGCTTATATAAAGCTCGCACTTGGCTACGACGACGACGATGACCGGATTGTTCGGAGAATGTCACCGGCCGCCGGCCTGGCCCGCCGTGGTCGGCCACTGATGACAATAATGGCACGGGCAAGAGTGGATTTCTGCAGGTAGCTTCTTCTTTCTCCCTGGGGGCCAGATGCTGAATGTGTTGCGACGTACTGTTAACGCGCGTGAAACACGTGATGGTACGGAGATGTATACCGTGTGCGTAGTACATGTGTTAGCGTCGAAGAGACGAAGACTGTACTAGCAGCTACAGATCAGGTGTGAAATGTGACATGATCATCAACATGCGTATGCATGATCCAATAGCTAGCTACGAGGTGTGGAGCTGCCACATGAAAAATGAGCTTCATGAGTATACTCATTTTCCGAGTTCCGACCAGCTAATCGATCAGATAGATCTCACAGATTAATGAACGACGATGGCTGACAGCTCGGGGATTATGGCGACCAGCTTCTTCGCGCATCATCTACCATGCATGATGACAACACAAGACACATGCATGTATATATATTCTTAAAGTTCATCAGCGCAAAAGCTCGCAAGAAACAAAAAAAAAAAAGCTTCACATGATCTCTCTCTCTCTGTTCAGATTTCATATCTCCCATGCAGGAATCAACTAATAACATTGCTAGTCAACTGGGCCTTTAATTAATCGATCTACCAATGTGTTCATATGGATCATGCAGGATTATTATACAACCTATGTTCTGAACAAGCAGTTAAAGGGAAACTATTTTTATCCCTCGAGGAGACATCCCCTCATTATTTGCATGTCATTCAAATGGTTATAAAAAAATGTAAAAAAATTTGAAAAGATGTATTATCATGTGATATATCACTCCACAAACATGCAAGTTCAAATTCAACTTCCATATCTCACAACAAAAAAAACAAATTTGACTGTGAATATACGTTAACTAGTTGTAGTTTAATTTTTTTTTCGTTGCGAGATGTAGAAGTTGAATTTCAACTTGCATGTTTGTGGAGTGATATATCACATGTTAATACATCTTCTTAATTTTTTTCATATTTTTTCATAACCATTTGAGTGACATGCATACAACGATAGGATATCCCCTCGAGAGATAAAAATCCACTCCCGCAGTTAAATCTTGTTAACTCGTTTATCATGTTTTCGCATGGGGTTGACCCGATGTACGATAGATTTATTCAGTTCACTTAATTAAAGAGCTCATTATTCTCGCTTCGTTGAACACGTACTAACACTGATGGATCATTTAGATCCTGTTTGATATAACTTCGAATTCAAGATGTTTTGAAACCGGGCATTCCTAATACTATAAATTTATAGCTCTGCAATCACGCTGATAACATTTAGATGAATCATTTTATTTTTATTTAAAATAGAATATACATTTTTAATCACTATAATTTAACATATAAACTTTAAATCTAATGTGAATCTGGGATTTGATGCCAGAGAAATTCCCCGTGGCGAAGAAACCGCCGAACTGAACGTTGACGAGGGCGAAGTGGAGACAGCAGAGCATGGTGGCGAGTTTTGATTTTGTTGCATGTGCTTCCAAAATTCAAAACGATTTTGTTGCATACAGCATATCTCTACTACTTAAAAAATTTAAAACGTTCCGACGTCCGTGACAAGAAAAAAAAAGGGCGAAAAATAATAGATTCGATTGCGATGCGAAAAAAACAGTCCGTAATACAAAAGTCATCTGTTAAACAAACGAAAATGCCTTAAAAAACGGTTCGTACCACACCACGCAAAAAAAAGTTCGACTCCGTAATAGAAAAGGCTGAAAAAAAAACCGAGAAAAAAAGGCATCCACCACGCGGAAAAAAACACGTTTCTGCAAAAAAAAATATTATTATGTTTTTTTATTTTCTTTCTCGATTTCCGATTTTTCCGGCGCACCGTTTCCTTCCCGATTTCTAATTTTTCCATGCACCGTCCATGAAAAGCAGAGTTGTTTCTGGTTGTGTTTATATACAGATTTGATGGGCCATAAACTACTTCATGAGCTCGGCTAGGTTACGAGCTAGCCCAAACACAAGATTCGGCCCGATTAAATTTGAGTCAGATAAATTTCAATATATAGAGAAGTCCTTGCCATTTTAGGATATTATGAAACACACCATAATCTCAACATATGATTCTTCATGAAGATTTAAACGAGAGTATAAAAAGGCTTATATAATTTCTACGATCTATAGAGTAGAAGTATTCAAACGGTAACATGCTATAAATGTTGATGCGTCATCAAGCACCATGTAAATTTGGAAATCATGCTTACTTCAAAACTATTCTTTTAAATTAGTTTATCATGAGCTATCATATTTTCCTTCGTAATTTGAGATTTATTTTAGCGAGCAAAAGCACTGGGTGAAAATAGCTTCGATTAAAAAAAATAATTTAAGTTTTACTTTAATTATTCTAATTTTATTATATCCGTAGCGGAGCACGGACATTTTGCTAGTATATATATACGTAACCAAGTTTTAGTTCCTCCATTAATTTAGTTATCTATGGCAATATAAAAAAAAGCAAATCTGACCAAATTGTATGAAGACAGAACAACACTACAATTACAAGTAGATCTAACACTAATACCACTTGCATAATTATTGCAGGTAGACCAGAATATATTGCACTCTCCGGTCTCCAGCAATGGCAGGGCACTCTTCTCTAGCTACCTAGCTACATGAGCCTAGAAGCGGTAGCTGGCCGGAGACGATCGATCGAGGCCGCCGTCGTCGAAGTTCCGGGAATAGCTCTGAAGGTCGTACCCGAACCTCGCCGCCGCGCCGCCGCCGCCGTGCCGCTTCGACGACGACGACCGCAACCTCGACCTCAGCTTCCAGTACAGCTGCCTCACCGGCCGCGGCGCCGCCACCGCCGCCGACGACCGCCGCCTCCCTGCGCCGGCGCCCTTCGCTGTCGTCGCCATCCTCCTCCGGCCGCCGCCGCCGCCGTACAGTCCGTCCAGAAACGCCATCTCGATCCGCCTTTCTCCGGCTGCAGGCCGGTCACAACTCACAACAACAAAGATCACTCCGAGATCAGTACTCAAAGCTTGTCCAGAGATCGAGTTAATCTGCAAACTCTTCTTGCTCTGCGGTGCGAGAGCGTCTCCCTCACCTGCGGCTTATATAAAGCTCGCAGGATGGCTGTGGGTATCACCGCCGGCGGCGGGGCCAGCGAGCCACTCACCGGCCGGCAGGAATGGTCCGGGCTAAAGTGGATTTCAGGTATCTTTTATTCTCTCTCTACCCCATTGCCGCTGTGGTCAAGGAAAGAGACGATGGAGATAGCCACGACGAAAGAGGAGGGGGAGAGCATCGTCCTTTTGCTTTAGAGGCGGTAGCGTGAGCAGTGAGGTGGCAATGGCGAACGCGGCCGTCACCCTCGCCCAAAGCTAGGAACAAAATAAATGAAAGGATTGGAAGAGATAGAGTTGGTCGATCGGCCTGGCCTCGAATCCTCGATCGACTATGGATTCTCTGTCATAATATCACGATCATTATATTAATTGATCTATGCTATTTTTTATTATTTTATATGTTAATGTTTATAATAATAGTATTACTATAATAGAGAATGTGAAACCCGTATGAGTCTCTGATGCTCCAAGCTCGCTCGGTGTATGTCTTTCTGCTCGATCGGAGTGGACGGCGAAAGCGGCGCGACCAGATGCCGATCGATGCGTGCGTGTGCGCGAAACTCATGCAGAGCTAATTAAGAGCTAGATCGATCGATCGATCAATGTGGTCATTTCTATGGGCATGTGTGCCATACTGAGATGTTCGTATACGTCACATGAACAATGAGCTTAATTTGTGTAGGTAACGTACAACCACAATTAACGTACTACTTAAAAAAAGTGATTTTTCTGTATGAGGCCCCCTCATTTTTCCATGCGGACCATAACTAGTGGCGTCTGTAAAAATCGAGAGTCATTTTTCCATACGGTTGCTTAAGTGGCCCGTATGAAAAAATCGATTTTCCCATACGGACCTATTAAGAGGGCCGCATGTAAAAATGAGCTCATTTTTGCATACGGCTCACATAAGCGCCCCGCATGGAAAAATCGATTTTTCCATACGGACCACTTAAGAAGCCGTATGCGAAAATAAAATTTGAAACTAGTGTATCTCACTCATATGAACTCCAAATTGAATAATTTTTTTCTAAATGTTTCTAAAATCATGATAGAATATCGTGTTCTTACTGGTATTATTTTGGCTGTTTTTTCTTATGACTTTGTTTTATCAATTAAAATTTTGAATTTCAAAAGTTCAAATAATATTTTGAAGCAGTAAATGATTTCATCGGAAAAAGTCATCAATAACAAAGTTATATAACTCATCAAGATCTATAACTTCTATTTTTGTCATTTCTTCATCCGACAAAGTGATTTTCTTTTTCAGATGAAATCATTTTCCCACCACTTTAAATTTTTTTCTACCTCATCTCCTCTCTCCCCTTTTAATTAATTTATTACACTCCCCTCTCTCTCTCTCTCCTCTCTCTCCCTCTCCCTCTCTCAGAGCAGCCGGGCGGCGGATGGCGACAGCGTCGATGGCGTCGGCGGGTGGCGGATCTGGCGGCGCTGCCCTCAGGAGGGCCGGATCCACCGCCATAGGGAGCGGCTACAGCGGCGGCGGGCGGCGCGTCTACGGCGATGGCTCGGCATAGCAGCTACAGCCCCTGCTCCGTACGTCGATGGCATCGGCGGGCGGCGTGGCTACGGCGGCGACTCGGCGGCCCGCCACCCCCTCCTCACCGCCGCCGACAACGACGACGATGAGGCGACCCTCCCCCCCTCCTCAATGCCGCGGCGGCGGGGGCGGCTTGGCCGCCTCGGGTGGCGCCGCCGCACCGCGCGGATCCGGCGGGGGCGACGACGGCGGGCGGCGGGGGAGACGGATCCGCCGCCAGCGACAACGCTGGGCGGCTGGGGCGACGGATCCGGTGCCACCGCCGACGGATCCGGCGGGGGAGACGGATCCATCGCCGGCGACGACGCCGGGCGGCTGGGGCAACGGATCCGGTGCAGCCGACGACGGATCCAGTGGGGACGACGACGGCGGGTGGCAGGGGCGACGGATCCGCCGCCGGCGACGGCGTGCGGCATGGATGCGTCGCTCCGGTGGCGGGCTAGGGTTTGGGATTTTTTTGATATTTATTTTTTTGGGGGGTTTTTTGGATTTTATTTTTTTTGTTTGCTGAATTTATTTTCGCATGCGGCCGATATAAGCGACCGTATGCGAAAATCCCATCTTCACATGCGGATGCGCCGGCCACATGCAAAAAGAGTGGTTTTTGCAGACGATTTCGTCCATGCGGTTGGGGCAACCGTATGCAAAGATGCTTCCCAACCGCATGGAAAGAGCCTTTGTGTAGTAGTGACGAGCTCCACTCTAAGCGCGTGTTATGATCTAATTAACAACATGTGGTCGAGTTAGGGCGTGTTTAAGTGGAAGTGAAAAGAGAAGAGATGTAAGCTATTAGCGTATATATTTAATTATGTATTAATTATTTTAAAATTTAAAAAAGGATTAATATGATTTTAAGTAAATTTTTGTTGACGAAAAAATCGAATACACCGGTCTAGGAGATCTGCTTAGCTCCTGTGCAGGTCCAAAGATTAATGAGATGCAGGTGTGCCAGTCAGTTTGATCCTGCAACTGACAAGATTTGCAAATAATAGATCAAACACTCAATCGGCTGACAAGCCGATGGAGTAGTTCCAGCCGATAGCCGATAATAGCCGATGCCGATACCAGCCGATAGCGGTAGGGTTTAAGCAATCGGCTATATGTCCAATGTAGATAATGATATAAAGGCAATCGGCTGATGATAATATAATATAGCAATATAATCCAGTAGAAACCAATCGGCTAACAATATGAAACAGTAAAACAAATATTGATCCGATGGTTAAAGCACATATCGGCTGGAGGTCCGATGTCACAAGATCCACAAGATTAGATTAAACAGTGAAACCTTTGTTGTCATCGGCTAAATCGAACTTATATGTATTGCAATCCTTATGAGCCGATGCAACGTCCACATAACTCACCGGCTGAAACCCCGATGAAACCCTTATTGGCAATCAAGAAGCAGGCTAGAGATTATGGTTCTAAGCACGACTTAGTAGATCAAACTCAACTGATGCATAACTAAGTATGAAAAGAAACATAATATTTAGACAATCAAACCGTTGACTGAGTTTTCAGGGTGGTAGATGTCTAAGCTAATCTAATCTAGCAACGCGATTTAGCCGATACCGGCAGAAACCCTAAAACAAGAAGCAGCCGATAGAGCTAAATTGATATGCTAGGACTATATTAACAGAGACATATGATAAATAGGTAGACAAATATATCATCCAAACCAGAGCAATCCAAGTGGTCGAATGTACTGATGCAGCCTTGAACGACGCCGACGTAGACGATACAATTGCCTGGACCGACGGAACATTAGACTTACCCCTTCGCCGGAGATCGAACACCGATGCAGCCCCGCGTCAGGTGCCAAGTCCCGCCAGATGATAAAATAAAGTAGAAAAGGTAAAAGGTGGCGATGCGCCGAATTGTATTGATCGTAGCGATTGATAGATTACAATGACCCCGGGTGTACATATTTATACCCATAGGGAGATACTAGTTCTTGTCGGACAAGAAAGAAACTAAAAAGGAAAAGATAAAGTCCTTACCGGACACTAAACACACTTTCCTCAAGATAAAAGGAAACTAACAAACTATACCTAATTAATAGATAACTGTCATGTCGCATCCTTCTTGAACTCGAACTCTTCTAGATAAGCTTCCTTTGATTGATCCGACTCCACCAAGAACACGACATCGTGGCGACTTGACTCCCATCGACTGATTCTAGAACTTTGAAGCCGATACTGACTCTAAGCCGATGGTAACTTTGGGCTTACCAAATTTCACTGTTAACAATTTTATATTATTTTTTAAGAAAAATACATTGTTTAGCAATTTGAGAAGTATGTGAAAAACTAGAGAAATTTTTTCTCTTTCAACCTCACTAGAACATAGCCTTAGGGGAGATATATCTGAATCTGATGCATGTTCTGTGTGAATCAGAATACTCTACCTTCGAAGTCACGTGATTTTATCCTTGACATATGAATCTAATACTGAACTATGGGGGTTGACAAGAAAAGGAGTAAACTGATACTGGTTGAAGCTTCTGCCATTTGCTGGGCTTTATGGTTGAGTAGAACTGATTTGGTTTTTAACAAATCACCATCTATTTTATTTATGCAGGTAATTTTCAGGGCAACGCACTGGCTCCGGTTTTGGGCACAGCTGCAAAGGTGTGAGGATGATGCGGAGTTCCTAAAGGTTGCATGCCGCAAGTTGGAGTCGATGGTTATGCAACTATTTGCCAATTATGAATGGAGGTTCATAAATAGACTTCAATAAATGTGTTCTCTTTATTTTGGCTTAGTTTCCTCTGTTTTTGTTTGGTGTGTTCTATTTATCTGAACTACACTCTTGGATGCTACTGTATAATAATTGGTTGTAGCTCTTTTTTAGCAAAGGCTGGGACGTTAAATTCCATTATATAAAAAAATATATGAATCTAATAAACCTTGGATAATCCACATCTGAGTGATAAAATGTACGGTGACTTTAAAGATAGAATATCTCAATCCATTTTAAGAGGGTTTTATGTCTAAGTGCCTGATCTCACGACCATCCATCACCATGTAATTCAGCCTGACATGCATGGTGACGATAACACACGATCCACGATCCTTGCTGCAAATGTACGGCGAAGACCCTGACCGTCCACGTACGACGATGTTGCGAGAGAAAGGTTGAGGTCGGTGATATAATGTAATTAATTAACTAAATTAAAGCATAAGCACTTGAGCAATATATAGATCAAGATTATAGGAAGCAGCTACGAAATGATCGTAGATGGATAGGATGAGAGGAAAGTGCAGGGAGATGACTGCATCGAGACGCTTTACGCGCATGATGACCGATGGGTTTGTGTGCCATATCCATTCCATGGATCAACCTGACGTGTAACGTGTAAGCCGCGAGTTCTAAATCAATTTCTGACGAACGCACTGGCGCTGATTAGCGCCGCGTGGAACAACCGAATCCTTTGCACAAAAGAGACCGAGACCGACTGGCTAATTACTTTTTGCTTAACTGAACATCTGCTGATCGATCTGTGGCTACGACGGTCTACCATATACCAACTTTCAGCATGATCATTACGATATCAAAAGAAGAACAAAACTAGTACTGTCCTGTACTAAGCTGTTAGGAGATGGAGGGAAGGAAACACACCTTTTTTTAAAAAAAAATGGAAAAGCATACTAGTGTCATTGAAGACATGACCCAATCCATTTCCGCTAAATGACAGTCCTTCCATTTTTAGTATATTTAAACATGACGTTTGAATATTTGTCTTATCTTTAATAGGAAGATTAATATAAGTTATACTTAAATTATCTTTAATGCTAAAACAATTCACAATAAAATAAATAATACTGAATGAGATGAATGATAACATCGTGTCAGAAGTGATAAGCTGGCAATATCATACTCCTTCCGTTCAAAAATTTTAACTTATAGAGTTTAAATTTTGTCCCACAAAAACTAACTTCTACCATCATACATATCCTTAACACGTAAAACGAGAATCTTTATCTCTTCAATACTCTTTATCTACTTATCACTTTTATTACTTTTTTTTAATGATTAAGGATATTTTAGTCATTCTCACTCTCCACTATTTCAAACGAGAAGCTTTATCCCTTCAATACCTTTACCTACCTACCACTCTTATTACTTTTTTTTAATGATTAAGGATATTTTAGTCATTATCGCTCTCCACTATTTTCATTTTGGAATGCTAGGAATGGTTTTTTTTTTACGGAGGGAGTATATATTTAAACGGTTGCAGTACTCTACAACAGTGCATCTCGTGTGAGATTTCAGACTTGGAACTAAACAAGTGATCCTAGTCAGGCTTCACCTCAGACCAAAAGCTCTAAATAATTTCATTCATTATTAATTCGTCAACAAGAACAGAACTGTCATTGCAGTAAGATCTCCAGAAGAAATATCCATCAAGTTTAATTAAATCAGTGGTGGTGATGCTAAATTAAAGCACATGCATGCATGCCCAAATTAAAGAGGATAAACACATATCTACTTAGTGACATGATGTCATTTATCTAGTAATCTTATGATCTTATCTGCAGTACTCACTTCTAGGTATAAAGTAACACAGTAAGCATCGCAGGAAAACGATGGAAAGCAAAAAAGGAAAACCACTAAGTGCTAAAGCTAAATCTACCTACGAGATCAAAGGGGATTAGCTGATGAGCTGATGACTCACCCACCTGATCGGCTGATTCACAGATCTCACAAAAGGACGGCCATGGTGTGGCATCTTTTAATTATGATTGGGAAATTCAAACAGAAAACAACGGTTGTCAAATTATCCGAGAGTCACCGGCGTCCATGGCGAACCAGCTTCGAGCAAGAGATCTTAATTTCATCAGAGATTCAGAGAGACACACATACCACCTTAATTAACACAGCTGCAGCTAAGCTCTGTTCAGATTTCAGATATCCCTACATGAACCCAACAACAAAATTCGCCTAATTAAGAAAACATGTGCTATCAGGTCTCAAGAAAAAAAATTAATCACTGAATACAATAATTTCTTCAGTAGTTTCATGCTTTTGGCAACCAGATATATATGTACGCTCAATTGTTCATGTCACTCCAAATTGACATATACATGTATAATACACAAACATCTTCAGCTTCAGGCTTATTATGGCAACCGAATATATTCATGTGTCACGTACGTATATATACATCCCATACCATACTGTCCATACAGTATATGTACACAATACATGAACAAGAGCGTGTTAGGATCGTAGTTTCTCCATTAATTTTGCCATCCCAGATGAGCACTATGAAAAAAAAACAGTAGTACAATCTAACACTAATACCACTTGCAGAGTTGCAGGTAGACCAGAACAATAATCTCCGGTCTCCAGCAATGGCAGGGCGCGCGATCTCGGGATCGAACCGAATGAGCTACCTAGCTAGAGAGCCTAGAAGCGGTGGCCGGAGACGACGAGGCCGACGCCGTCGTCGAAGTTGCGGGAGTAGCTCTGCAGGTCGTACCCGAACCTCGCCGCCGCCGCGCCGCCGGCGTGCCTCTTCGACGACGACCGCAACCTCGACCTCAGCTTCCAGTACAGCTGCCTCACCGGCCGCGGCGCCGCCACCGCCGACGACGACCGCCGCCTCCCTGCTACGCCGGCGCCCTTCGCTGTCGCCATCCTCCTCCGGCTGCCGTACAGTCCGTCCAGAAACGCCATCTCTTCTCACTGACAAAATTAAGATCACTCTCTCGATCGACTTGCTGTACTCGAGATCAAACACAAGCCTAGGAGTTTTTGCAAATCTTGTTTCGCCGCGCTGCTGTGAGCTAAGCTAGCGTCCCTCACCTGCGGCTTATATAAAGCTCGCAGGATGGCTGGGCATCATCGCCGGTGGCGGGGCCCGCCGGCCACTCACCGGCCGGCCGGAATGGTCCGGGCTAAAGTGGATTTCAGGTATCTTTTTTTCTCTCTCTCTCTCCCATTGCCGCTGTGGTCAAGGACAGAAACAATGGATGGAGATAGCCAAGAAAGAGGAGGAGAGCATCGTAGATATAGGCTAAGCCTTTTGCTTTAGAGGTATTCCTCCGTTTTTAATGTTACAAGACATTTTAACTTTGATTAAAATTAAACTGCTTTAAGTTTGACTAAATTTATAGAAAATAATAATAATATTTTCAACTCAACATAAATTTATTATGAGAATATATTCAATTGTTGATTTAATGAAACTAATTTGTTATTATAAATATTACTATATTTGTGTATAGACTTAGTTAAATTTAAAGGAGTTTAACATTGATCAAAGTTAAAACATTTTATAATTTAAAACAGAGGGAGTAGCTAATTAACCTAGGTAGCGTGAGCAGTGAGGTGGGAAATGGCGATCGAACGCGGCCGTCTCCATCGCAGCATAAATTAAAGGAGAGCAAAAGCTATGTTGATCGATCGGAATAATCGATCGTTTGGAGATAGATCAGTCGGCGTGTCGAGGCGCGATCGATCGATGCTCGCTGCCGTCCTGAAATGTTGTAGTGGACGGCGAAAGCGGAAGCAGCCAGATGCATGCGTGGATACGTGGCCGAGATCGCGATCGAACTGCTGCCGAATTGAAATGTTGTGCGTGAAACTTAGGGTTTGAAAGTCCGGCCGGAATGAAATTTCGGACCCCATACATTATTATTTCGGCCGATTTTTTTAATTTTTTTAATTTGATAATATTTTGTTCAAATTTGACCAACATTTGTTCAAAATTTCAGAAATTTCGGATCAAAATTTTAGAAATTTGGTATATCCGTGACCTCCGATAGAATCGGTCAAACCGAAAAATTAAACCCCGTGAAAGATATCTATGCAGATCGATGTAGTCATTATATTCCCGGCCGTACGTAGGCATCTGAGCGCCACTAGCTAGCGTCTGAGGCATATTACACATCTACACGTTTTACAATTGACACAGCAAAACGTGGGGGAAATATAATGTCACATGAACAATGAGAGAGCTTGCAGCTACAGTGAGGGTTGTACAATGGTCGAGTTTAGGCGAGATATCTGGATGTTGCCATGCTACGACAGGGCTTAATTTATGCCCGTTTGGCTGACATGACGGTGTGGCCGTGTCTCTTGTTCAAACGACGACAATCTGTGTGTTCAGTTCAGATATCGCGTGGTCGGTCGTTGCTGCGAACGAATGCACTCCAAACAGGGCCGTGCACATGGGCATGCGGCCCATGCGACCGTATAGACCTCCAAATTTTTAGGGCCTCAGAAAATCAGCCCAACTGAATAAGGCCCATGCATTTGTGTGAGGCCAGAGCGCCATAACCCTGTTCGAGTCCGCGCGTGTCTCCGCGCGGCGACTTCGCGTGCGTGGCGCTTCGTATTCTCAACTCCGAGCCCCGAGACCCCACGGCGTTTTGTATTCTCTTTCGTTTTTCGTATCTGTGACTTATTCAGTTCGTCTCGAGTCTCGACGTCTTGTCTCCTCCGAGCAGCAAGCCACCAGCCGGCTCATCCAATTTCAAATTTTCATTCAACCAGCGAATAGCAACTTAGCAAGCAACCAACAAGTAAGGCACTAGGCAGCAAGCCAGCAACAACAACGAACATTCTCCATTTTCAATTTGACAGTTTCTGATTATGCAAAACAAGTGATAAAAAATATACTATTCTTGATATATCGCATTTGCTCTGCAGTATATATATTATTTTAGTTATAGTTTGTATCCTCACTTAGTGTTTTGTACAGGGCCTACAAATTTAACGGCCCGGCCCTGACTTCAAACAGCTAGCTAGGACCATGGCTGTCCACGTTGCCGATCGAGAAAGGTTTTGGTGATGAAACTGAATTAGTACAGTAAAGCATAACTGCATAAGCACTCTGCACTCGTTGGAGCAATATGCATGACAGACGATGATATATAGGCAGAGAGCTAGGAAAGACAATCGCGATGAGGAGGAAAGTGTAGGAAGGTGACTAGGGTTCACCATACCACCGGTAACCGCGTGGTTACCGCAGTTACCGGGTTTACCGCGTTTACCGTGGAGGTATGGTAATGTAAATACCGCGGTAACCTTCTTAAATTTAAAAAATAATTTAAATTTTTGATGAATTTTACACGGTTTTTTACGGTTACCGCGATAACCGTGCTTACCGCTGGGGCGCGGTAACCCTGGCCCCGGCGGTTTGGGAAACCCTAAAGGTGACTGCATCAAGGCGCTTTACGCGCGTGATTGAATATTGATGGATGGTTACTGCTTCCTCTGGCCGGTGTATTTGACGTTTAGGGAGAATCTATCTATCTATTATATTATTAAACAGCTTTGAAAGGAGGCACCACGTTCGCTGTGGAGGCTAGAAATTCCCACATTAATCGGAGAAAAAGAAAAAAAAGAAAAGGAGAGTCCAAGTAGAAATACAATTTAAAAAAAGCTGAAATTCGGAATTAAAAGTAAGCAATATTGAAAGAAGTTTCTATATAGGAACCCAATACGAGATTAATCAAAATTCGAAATAAAAATAAAATAAAATCCGAAATTAGCGAAAAAAAAGAGTCTAAGTAGGAATACAATTTAAAAATAGCTGAAATTCGGAATTAAAATAAGGAATATTAAAAGAAGAGTCCATACAATAACCCAATATGAGATTAATTAAAATTCGAAATAAAAAAAATAAAAAAATCGAAATTAGAAAAAGGAAAAGAAAAGAAGAGTTCAAGTAAGAATATAATTTAAAAATTAACTAAAATTCAGAATTAAATATAAGCAATATTGAAATAAGAGTACATATAAGAACCCAATAGTAGATTAACTAAAATTCAGAATAAAAAATAAAATATAATCTGAAATTAGGCAAATTAAAAAGAGAGTTAAAGTAGAAATACAATTTTAAAACAACTGATATTCAAAATAAAAATAAAAAAATCTAAAGAACACAATACGAAAAATAAAATAAATTCTGAAATTAGAAAAAGAAAAATAAGATATCAGCTAGAAATACAATTTATAAATAACTAAAATTGGTGATAAAAAAATAAAGATTACTAAAAGAAAAGACCATCTGAAACACATGACGAGATTAATTAAGTAACATGCCTATATAGGAGAAGAGTGGTGGCGGTTGATGGGACATCTAAAAACTATTAATAAAATACCAAATAAAATCCTAATGACTACTAAAAAGAAGTACAACGGGCAGGTCGTGAAGCAATCGGTCAAGGCGTTTGGCGGGACTTCTAGAAAGTAAAAAAAAATAAACCCAATGATAATCATATTTGATTTTTACGTTCACTGTGGGGGCTAGAAATTTCCACATTAATCGGAGAAAAGAAAAGAAGAGTCCAAGTAGAAATACAATCTAAAAATAGCTGAAATTCGGAATTAAAAGTAAGCAATATTGAAAGAAGAGTCCATATAGGAACGCAATACAAGATTAATCAAAATTCAGAATAAAAATAAAATAAAATCCGAAATTAGCAAAAGAAAAAAGAGAGTCTAAGTAGGAATATAATCTAAAAATAGCTGAAATTCGGAATTAAAAATAAGGAATATTGAAAGAAGAGTCCATATAGGAACCCAATACGAGATTAATCAAAATTCGGAATAAAAATAAAATAAAATCGGAAATTAGCCAAAAAAAAAGAGTCCAAGTAGGATTACAATTTAAAAATAGCAGAAATTCGGAATTAAAAATAAGAAATATTGAAAGAAGAGTCATATAAGAATCCAATACGAGATTAATTAAATTTCGGAATAAAAAATAAAAAAAATCAAAATTAGAAAAAGGAAAAGAAAAGAAGAGTTCAAGTAGGAATATAATTTAAAATTAACTAAAATTCAGAATTAAATATAAGCAATATTAAAATATAAGCAGAGTAGTGGCAGTTGATGGGACATCTAAAAACTATTAATAAAACACCAAATACAATCCTAATGATGACTAAAAAGAAGTACAACGGGCAGGTCGTGAAGCAATCGGTCAAGGTAGGTGGCAGGACTTCTAGAAAGTAAAAAAATAAACCCAATGATAATCATATTAGATTTTTAAAATCTCAATAATAATAAAATGAGAGGCAGCGGCCGGGTCGTATAGGAGTACAATGGCAAAGTCGCCGATGGTTGGTGGGTCTTCTATAAAGTAAAAAAAATGAATTCCAATGATAGTTATGTTTGACTTTTACAATCCTAATAAAGAGTATGCGGCGGACGGGTCATAGAGGAGTATAGTGGTAACGTTTGATGGGATTTCTAAAAATTATAAAATAAAAATGAAACCCAACAAGATAATAAACTCCAATTTTTAAAGGTTCGGGCTTCTAAAAAGTAAAAAAAATAAACCCCAATGATAATCCTGTTTGATTTTAAAATCTCAATGACAATAAAGAAGGGCGGCAGCGGGTGAGCCGTAGAGTAGTATAGTGACAAAGTCGCTGACGTTTTGGAGAAACTTCTAGAAAGTAAAAAAATAAACCTAAAGGATAATTATGTTCGATTTTTAAAATAGCAATGACAATAAAGAGAAGATGCAATGGACGAACATAGATGAGTATAATGATAGTGTTTGACGGGACTTCTAGAAATTATAAAAAAGATGCCCAATAGGACAATAAACTCTAAAACATATAAAGATTCTAAGGAGAATGAATAGAAAACGGTGGTAGATCGAGCAAGCAAATAAAGAATAATATGACAGAAGTAAGGGGTAGCAGTTGTTGTGACTTTAGAAACTAAGGAAATTAGAAACACGAGGATAATAAGGTTTAGTCTTTAAAAATCTTAAGACAACGAGATAACTATTTAATAAATTTGAAGTAAAATCATATTAAAAATATATAATTTTATATGGGTGCTAGCCGCGCAATTGCGCGAGCCACCCAGCTAGTTTATTTTTAAACAAAGAAATTCAGAAATTATTGGTGGCCAAAGTTTTAAAATTAAGTTTGATTAAATCCTATTTTAAACGTTAAATATTTATAACTTTTAGAGGGAGTACGTCCTAGCGTCCTACTAAGCTCAAGCTGCTAGCTATGACGTAAAAACACTTCTGTTTAATTATAGTGCTATAGAGTGATAACATAACCACACATCAACGGTCGGATTTCAGACTTCTGGCAAAGGAATTATACGCAGCTAGTACAACTAAACAGTTCCAATTTCAGGCCAATTGCTGCTGGATACTGTTTGAGGCCTAGTGCCTAGCTTTTATGTTTTGTTATTCGAAACCTATATTGCGAGCTTAAATACTCAGACTATGTATCTTTGGGGCTGCGTATATCCTGCTGCAGGATGTATAGGTCGGGTTTTAATCCATTATTAAAAAAAATTAGTTATATTCATTCGTCAGCAAGAACAACACATTCAGCCGTTGCAGAGTGTACATATCTGCTTAGTGACATGATGACATTTATCTAGCCTTTCCTTACGATCTTATCTACTCATAATTAACAAATTTCTAGGTCGTAGTAGTGAGCATCTCAGGAAAGCGAAAAAAGGAAAACCACTAAGCCCTAAAGCTAAATCTAGCTACGAGATCAAAGTGACATTAGATGATGAGCTGATGACTCACCGACCTGATCGGCTGATTCACAGATCTCACAAAAGGACGACGGATGGCCGGCAGCTTTAGGATTAGGAAAGTATAGTTAAAAAGCACAAGTCAAATTATCCGAGTCACTTGGCGATCAGCTTCGAGCATGGCGATCAGATTCGAGCATGACATCTTTCTTAAGCTCATCAGATTCACAGAAGCTGCCACCTTAACAGCAACATTTATATCTGATCAGATAGCACCACATGACTACAACAACAAACAATAGCAATGGTGCTAGTTAATCCTATGGGATTTGTATGGGTTTTTTTTTACCAATTTACTTATGCATTATGCAGGATCTGTATGCATTCTATGTTCTAAACAGATCATTAAAGTTTGCTAAAGCATTTATCTGGCATGTCATATATGATTTCACTTTTTTTGAATCTCTCATTTTCCTCTGAGCCTGTTGGACGGACCGAGATTGGTGCAGTCCTTACTATAAGCCCTATCATTTTGCTTATTCGACGATATATTTACAAACAAAAAATAGTTTGTGAATAATTTTTTATTGTATATGTTCTTAACAATTTAAAAGCAAAGGCTAAAAAATAAACTATGATAAAAAATCATAAAAATAAACTTTAAATTTAAGGTTAAAATTTTAAATTTTGGTTGATAAGCATAAGCATAAGTGAAAAGATGAAACCATATAACTACAACTTTAGCAGTTGCACCGCAACTGATGGATCAAAAACCAACGGCTTAGATCATAAAAAAAATATTGTTCATGAATTACTGTAGCAAATCTACAACGGTGTTGCTATAATTATGTCAACACATTTTGTGAGTAATCACAGTCGATTTCTTGTTCAATTGATCTCCCTTGAGATTCGTGCTACAATTGCAATACCATGTGCATTGAACGTCTTTACATATTTCGTGTTGCATCGTGAAGCCAATCAATTTAAATTTCTCATCTCGTCAGCATGTGTTTTCATGAAAAAACTACTACATATATAATTTCAGGACTTAGATATGTAATTTTAGAACTTACATTATAAATATACTAAAATTACATATGTAATTTAGAGACTTACATATATAATTTTAGAATTTACATTGTAAATACACTAAAATTACATATGTAATTTAGGGACTTACAATGTAAATACATGCTGACTATTTTTTGGTGAAAAATATGGCGACATAAATATAAATATAGTTACTCCCAATCTACAATGTACCGATTACTGTAGCATCGATGGTGCGGCATGATGGCAGAGCAAATCCGAGCCGTTGGTTCCATCGATCCAACAGTTATTATGTGCTCCTTGCAGTCATTACTACTACAGCACCGATCTCAGTTCCTCTCGACACTGATGGATCATTCACATAGCCAAAGCCACTTTAGGGCTAAGTACTGTTCCTAGTAATCTAGGCCCAATTAAAACTCTAACATTAGCAGTAAATGGGCCGCATATTGAGCCGAAAGCCCAAAGCCCAAAGGCCCACATGCCTCTCGCCTTATAAGTAGCCGAGGCAGTGAAGCCCTAGCCGGGTCCTCGTCTCCTCGCGCCGCCGCCGCCGCCGCGGACGCCGCCATGTCGAAGCGAGGTACGTGCGAGCCACCTCTCTCCCCACCTCCGCTCCGTCTCCTTCCTCCGCCGCTGCTTCTGCGTCGCTGATCTGGTCTTCGCGCGTGTCGGAAATGGTGGCGCAGGGAGGGGTGGGTCGGCGGGGAACAAGTTCCGGATGTCGCTGGGTCTGCCGGTGGCGGCGACGGTGAACTGCGCCGACAACACCGGCGCCAAGAACCTCTACATCATCTCCGTGAAGGGCATCAAGGGGAGGCTCAACCGGCTGCCGTCGGCCTGCGTCGGCGACATGGTCATGGCCACCGTCAAGAAGGGGAAGCCCGACCTCCGGAAGAAGGTCATGCCCGCCGTCATCGTCCGCCAGCGCAAGCCGTGGCGCCGCAAGGACGGCGTCTACATGTACTTCGAAGGTACGCGGAAGCTGCACCCAATTTCGCCCATGCCGATCTGTGAAATCGTGATGCTCTCTAGTGTCTTGATGATTAGTGTTGCATTATGACGTGTTATGAGCTGCGTTAAGTTTGGTTTCTAAGTATTTTAGTGTGATCTTTTAGTCCACCTGCATAAATTAGTGTCAATTTCATTATGGGTTACACGATTTACCATATTGAGAATGCTGATCAGTTGTGGCTGCTACGATTGGAGCAATGCTCTATTTTTTTATGCTTACGTCATTACGTGATTAAGTTACACATTCTTATGAGCTACAGTGAGCTTGTTTTGGGGGCTAGGCTTTAGGTTGATTTTACTTGAACTATCATCAAATCTACCAGAAAACACCAAATATGTTAGCAGGTTTTTTTTAGTTTGGTGAATTATTTTTAAGCAAAAATTTATGTGTTTGCTTATTGTGAGTTTGTAACATGGCATAAAAGAGGGTACAAATATTCTTCTATATTTTACTGTCTTCACTAGGAAGATGTTTTAGATGGGGCCTTTTGGTTGGGAACATGATCTTTATTGCCTGACATGGTGCTGGTCCTACTTTTAATAACTATGGTGTTCTCAAAATATTTTTCAACTGGAAGATGGCTGGCATTACTTATCTGATTGCGCTGTATAGGCCAATTGCTGAATTTTGTTCGTTGGAGCTTGTTCTGTTATTTTATTTGCACTGCCGTAGGAAATACACAGTGACGGGAGGACTGCAAGGTTCTTCAGCTTTTTCTGGAGCAAACTTATATACATGTTTGCATATTCCTAAGTAAACGTCACAAACAAAGCATTGTTGGATGTAGAGGTTTTCTTATAAAGATTTTATCTTCATAAGAGTTCCTCCATCTGGAAGCGGTCACATATTCCATTGCCCTAGGTAGTGGCATCGCCGCTATGAAACTTTGGGACTGGCCATGTGACATATATTTTTGTCTTCTGATGCCATAAATATAATACATTAGCTTTTATTCATTCTACATGTTTTGTGTGCTTTTATTCTTTGGTCTCTTTTACATTTTGAGCAGCATTTCATTTGTACACTATTCCCTTGGCTATTTTGTCATTGGTTTTATCATTTGGAGCTGCCATGTGGTCTATCGAATTAATACCGGTTATGAAATTTGATGTGCAGACAATGCTGGGGTGATTGTGAATCCCAAGGGTGAGATGAAAGGTATGGCGAGAACACTACTATACTCCCATATGTTATGTGTTATTGTATTTTCTCTCGAAGCCTACCAGGCAATAATTTACTCACTGTGTATTCTTTTCCAGGTTCTGCTATCACTGGACCCATTGGTAAGGAGTGCGCCGACCTCTGGCCAAGGATTGCTAGCGCAGCAAATGCCATTGTCTAGAGCTTGTTTGGAGTAGTAGTTTTCAGTTCTGTGCCGGATGTGATAATGTGCTCCAGTTCTTTTTTGTTTCCAACCAAGTTTAACCTGAACTTGAAGCAAACCTTCAGTTAAATTTTCAGTGCGGATTGTGTCCTTGATGAATGGAAAATGGCATGTTTGCTTGTTTACCTTGCTCCTTTTAATCAGTTCACAGTCAGCAACCAGATCGTATTCTGGAGAAACTAGCTGAATGAACATCAATCTCACCTTTCTGCCACCTGAAGCTGCCTGAAGATTTAGGCTTTGTTCTATGCTTCCCTACCTAATCTCTACTCGCTCATTTTCAATGTGCCGCTGCACAACCTCTGCGATCAGCGACGGCCCATTTGACTCCTTTCTATGTACGTTCTGACGTTATGTGATGTTCTAGGATGATTTCCTCTGGGGTTAATTGGATTCATGCCACTACAAATATGCTAAATTAGAAAAATAGCACTACTATTTGTGATATCGGTTGGGTGCCACTAGAATTTGGAGAAATTAGAACCGTGTTACTCCGTTGGTTTTCCATCCACTCCTCGTTAATTTCCCAACTTCAGTGCTTGGCCTCGATGCGGCAGCGAAGGAACTTCGGTGCTTGGCCTCGATGCGGTAGCGAAGGAGCTCGGTGGCAGGGAAAGCGATGACAGCCTTCAAGCATGACAGTGACAATGACGTTTCCCAACTCTGGCGGCGAGCGGAGCTTCGGCGACGAGCGACTAGAGCGGCGGTAACTTGGGTACGCGGGGAAGGCGGCGCTCGGCCTTGATGTGGCGAAGGAGCTCGGCGGCAGGAAAAGCAGCGACGGCCTTCTCCGCTCTCAAGGGGCACGATGGCGAAGCACGCCGAGAGGGCGAAGCGGCGGCGACGGGCCATGGCTGTGCGCGGCAAGAGGGCGAGGTGATGGCGAAGGGTCTCTAGGGGCACAATGGCAAAGCACGCCAAGAGGGCGAGGCAGCGGCAACGGGCCATGGCTGTACGCGGGCGGCGAGAGGTCAAGGTGACGGCGGCGGGTCTCAAGGGGGATGATGGCGAAGCATGCCGAGAGGGCGAAGCGGCGGCGACGGGCCATGGTTGTGCGCGGGCGGCGAGAGGGTGAGGTGATGGCGGCGGGTTGTGACTCTGTGTCGGAGGGGAGAAGGAGAGGCGGCGGCGGACTGTGGCTGTGAGTGGGTGGCGAGAGGGCGAGGTGATGGCAGCGGGCCGAGGCTATGTGTAGGCGGGGAGAGCGTAAGGCTGCGCCGGTTAGTGGGGCGAGGGCAAGGCGGCTCGGTTGTGCAGGGAAGGCGGTGCTCGGCCTCGATGCGCGATGGTGATGGTGGGGAGTTTCGACGATGGTGGAGGAGATGGCAGCACTCGGCACAAACGAAAGATGGTGGCGCCAATGGGGAGTAGATAACGCGACGGAGTGGCATGGATCCAATTTCCCCAAATTTTAGCGGTACTAGTCGATATCACGAATAGTAGCGATATTTTTCTAATTTGGCATATTTGTAATGGTGAATAGTAGCGATATTTTTCTAATTTGGCATATTTGTAATGGTATGGATACAATTAACCCTTTTCCTGTAGCATAGTAAGAGCATCACTAACAGTCCTTATATTGTTCCCAAAACTGATTTTTATGTTTTTAAAACTGATTTTTATGTTTTTAGGTGAAAAATCGGATCCAACATAACCCCACACACGTTTTAGAGTTCCTTCACCATACTGATTGTAAGGGTTTTAAAGTGAAAAATCGGATCCAACACACGTTTCAGAGTTCCCTTCACCGTACTGATTGTAAGGGTTTTAAAGTGAAAAATCGGATCCAACAGATCATCTACACACGGATATAACAGAACCCTGTTTCTTCCAAAACTGATTTTAATGGTTTTAGGTGAAAAATCGGATCCAACATATCCCCACACACGTTTTAGAGTTCCTTTAACTTACTGATTTTAATGGTTTTTAAGTGAAAAAATGGATTCAGCAGATCCCCTACACACGGATCTAACATATCTCAGTTTCTTCGTGATCTATTCTTATAAAATTTAGGTTTTCTATGAGAGAGATCAGTTTTTTTTTCTATTTTCAGTTTAGAAAACCAAAAACAAAATTTTCTATTTTCAATTTAGAAAAAAAAATTGGGAGAAGATTATTCGTAATGTCTTGATGATGCTCTAAGTTCCTCTTGCGTAATTTTCCAATATTCTCAATGGATGTGCATTGTTACGACGATAAATGGTAATAACTGTTAAAATTTCTGCCAACAGGATTTTCAAAAGATTCAGCCTTTGGTAAGGAATTTCTTTTTTTTATCTGATTCTTTTTTTAGATAGTCGTGTTTTTAGATGCCACAGATTTCATTGGTCCCTCACTTGTATTTCCTAATGAAGTAATGATATATCTGGAGAACTTTTGGGTCATTTTTTTATTTTTTATTTGTGATCTTTTTGGGACCTTAATTAGTTGATTGTTTGAATCAGGCATTCTGTGTAAACAAGGTTTGCATAACAGTTTTATTCGGTGTGCTTCTACTTAGCTTAATTTTATTCAGCCGCTTATATTTTGACTGAATAGATTAGGTTTCTTGTTCCCAATTACACGACATGTAGAAATTACTTTGACACGCAAAAGGTTTGCGCGTTCGCGAAAAAAGACATATAGAAATTACTTCATCCGTATTCAAATATATGATGTTGTTAACTTTATTTAGTTTGTTTTCAGAAAAGAAAAAGAACTTTATTCAGTCAAACTTTTGAAAGCTTGATCATTAATAGCTCTCATAATATTTAGTTTGAAAAATACCGTATGTGTAGATTTTTCTTTACTGGAGCATTTACAATAATACAGTTTTGTTAGATAGTTTTGTTGTATTCTAATTTAAAAAAAAGTACTGCTCAGACTTGAACACTAGAGAAGGAATAAAGTCAATAGTATAATATATTCATATAGAGGTATTATACCGTCAAACATTTGCAAATATATCCTTTTCCTTTACACCCTCAGATTGCTAAAGGCCTAAATCTATATTGATTTTCCCTGCTCCAATTTTCTCAACCGTTTCCAGGACCACCTCAAAACATACTAGGCATTTCAAAATGCCTTCTAACATCGTTAAGTACACACGACATTTGTATCTATACAAATTATGCAAATTAACTCTATCTATTTCATTCACCTGCAAGAATGACAAACAAGTGAAAAGCAGATTGATATGACAACAGACCGACCCTACAGCAACTCCAGCTGATCAACATACATCAAATTTCTACAAAATTATTCAGAGGTTTGAAGTAAAGGACCGGTTAAATCTGCACAAAATAGGGTGGAAAAAAAAAGAAAAAGCAATTCGAGAGAGTTTCTCAGTGCTGTGTCGTATGAGTTTATATCCAGGATTCCACTGTGTGATTGTACATGTATGAGCTCATCCCGCTGATATGCGCTAGAGCGTCAGAATCAAGCATGTCTTCTCCCTTCACGCCGCCCTGCAAATTCAAGACAAAAAAAAAAGGACAAAAAGTCCTCAAATCATTGCCAAATTTCACTTCGTAAATATAATCCCAAGTTTCAAACCGATAATATCACTTTGTTTTAAAGATTTTTTTGAGGGCGTTCTTGGCATTTGAATGCTTACAATTTGTTCATACTCTTCGTGATTCTGCGAGCCGATCGACCTGGATGCCTCGCAGTAGTCGTCGTTCTTGGCGAACCTACCACGGACGCGAGGCCGGCTATCCGCGAGGGTTTTTCTGCAAGCGTACTGCAGATTTTTTTTTTAAAAAAAAAATCTGAGATGTCAGTAACGTGGTCGGCGGTGAGGTGAAATTCGTTTGAAATATGGGTTGGGGGGGGGGGTGATATTTTGAATTTGAATTTGAATAATTTGGAAGTTCTTGCCTCACCTTGATCTTCTTGCTGAAATTCCTCTCGTTCCTCTTCTTGATGTACCTGTGGATCTTTTCCTTCCTCTCCTCGTTGGAGAGGCGGACGGTCTTGAAGCTCGTGTCCTCCAAGCTCGTCGTCTCCGTCGTCCCCGTCGCCGGCAGCCGCGCTGGGCTACTCCCGCCTCCGCCCATCTGTGGCACCACGACCACCATGGTGAAACGGTCATGGCGTCATGCTGCGCGTGCGCGAGAGGTTCTTGCATGGCGGCAATGTCCTACCTGCAACTCTGCGGCGGCGGCGTTGCCGAAGGCCATGTCGGCGCCGTCGGCGGCGTGGGTGGCGCCGAGAAGCGCGCCGCCGCATTCCATCATCCGCTGGTACTCGCCGATCTCGTCCATTCCCATCATCGACATCACCATGCTTCCGCCGCCGCCGCCGGCCGCGGCGAAGAAGGCGGCCTGCGCCGCGTGCGCGTCCTTGCTGAAGAACGCCTCGCCGGCGGCGGCGGCGGCGGGGAGCATCGCGCCGGAATGCTGCTGCTGCGGGCAGAGCGGGTCGTCCAGGCCCATGTACCCTCCCGCCCCAGCTCCGGCTCCAGCGGCCAACGCCGCCGCGAAGACCTCGTCGGTGAACCCGGCGTACTGCATCAGCTCGGTGGCGGTGCTGCTCAGCTGCGCCTGCAGCGCCGGGTGCTCCGCCGCCGCGCCGCCCATCACCGGGAGAGGCATCTGGGTGAATTGCTGCTGCTGCTGATGCTCCGGTGGTGGTGGTGGCTGCGTCTCGTCGACGGCGGAGAACGCGTAGTCGTCGATGGGGAGGAGGAGCTCGCCGTCGGCGCCGGGCGGCTCGTCTTGCTCGAGGAGAGCCGAGAGCGTGGAGTCCAGCGACGGCAGCGGCGGCGACAGGGTGTCGCCGCCGCCGGCGATGGGCGCGGTGGCCGTCGACGACGACGAGGCGGACGCGTCCTCCGAGGAGGCCGTGAACATGTCCGACCCTGCCGCCGCCGCCGCGTTCACCGCCGCGAAGAGGTCGCCGCCGTTGCCGTCGTCGCAGAAGTCATAGATGTGCTGCGCTATCGGGCTCGAGATGCCATCCTGCAAAAACAAAAACAAAATTCAGACAAAAACCATCAAACCACCAACTCGTAACCATTTCTTTCTTCAGAAAAAAAAACTGTATTCTTCTACAGGCCTGTGCAATGCAAACATTCATCGCCAAAATCCTGAATTGACAAAACGGTGATTTACAGATTTGTATTAGGCTATTTAAACCCATTTCTATGATTCTTTTATAATCTCTTTTTTTGCAAGGAATCAAATGCCATACTGTTGTATTTGCAAATTATACTGTTCTATCTGAAATCTGAAATCTCTGAAGATGTCAAGAACAGTAGAGGTATAGGTCCGTATGCCGTATGCTGGGGGGAATGTTACTGTTAGGATCAGGCAACTAATCAAAAATTCCAATGCGCAATGTCATAAAGCTCGTGGAGATTAGGAAGCAGAAACTATCAAGTCGAGGCATCGATTCCCATCTGTACTGCAAGAGGTCCAAAAAGCAGAAAGATTTTCGCAGGATCTGGTGCCCCTTTCCGCTTTAGTATGATAGCCACCTAACAATTATTGCTCTAGCAAAATCTGATCAGAGCATTAGCATTTGCCAATTGCCATTGCTATGGAATCCTAATATGCATGGGCAAGCAGAATGCAAAATAAATTATCAGACCATATGCATGCAGAATAACAACAGCAGAAACTGCTGAAAACAACCATGCTGAAACTGACTGAAGCTTGCAAATAACTGCAGAATTGAGCCTAATTTGCTTTCAGGAGATTTACGGCGAAAGGCTCGTCGTCGACGTCGTCGAGCATGATGGATCTTGCACCAAGGAATGCTCTAAATTGATACTGAGAAGGTAGAGGCTCATCAACGGAATGGGAATTTGAAGAGGAGAAAAGCTCACGACCCATGCTAATGGCAGTGTGTTCTATTTATAAGCCCATGAACAAGAAGACCAAGCAATAATCCAGGCTAATTATAGAGCCATAAGAGCCGGAGACCTAACAAGAACTAGATGCGAAGTAACCGTAGCACTTAATTAGGACAAAGGACAAATATATTTACATGTCACATGGTGAAAATGTAAGTACATATGCCCAAAGCTAAAGAAGAAAAAAAAAGGGGAAAACACCTATTTTTGTGCATGTTCTATGCCGTAATTCGGCTCCTAACGAACAATTAAACCGCCCTTTGTCTCTCCAAGATTAGTTTCCCCTTACTCCTAGATCAGTTTTTGACCGAGACGTCGTAATTTTCTTTTGCGAGAAAAAAGGGATATTGCTATCTAGTTGATTCAACACATGAACACATGATCATTAAGAGATAACAGTATGTGATATATATAGGTTTTCATTTTTTTAAAAAAAAAGAATGAAAGAGTTCATGGTCGCACAAGATATAGGATTCCAGTTCCTATTGTCTTTCTTTGTAATTCTGTTCGTTTGCGATGTACTCAAACACCTCATTACGTCTTAATGATGCGTATTCGCCAAAAAAAAGAATGTAAGAGTTTTGCCTGATATATTGTTTTTTTATCTCTGCAATACTGACTCGATCTCAGAAATTGTACTCCCTCCGTCCCATAATATAAGGGATTTTGAGTTTTTACTTGTAATGTTTGACCACTTGTCTTATTCAATTTTTTTTGAAATTATTATTTATTTTATTTGTGACTTACTTTATTATCCACAGTATTTTAAGCACAACTTTTCATTTTTTATATTTGCAAAAAAAATTGAATAAGATGAGCGGTCAAACGTTGCAAACAAAAACTCAAAATCCCTTATATTGGTACGGAGGGAGTAGTTGATTCTTGTAGGTACAATGAGAATTGCTTTGAATATGTTATTGATGTGCTTATCTCTAATTTGATATGCTGATTCAATGGTTCAAACGGTGTCTATCCCGGGTGAAATTTTGACCCCCTTTTTTAAAATTTTCTTGTCAAATATGATACATATTAACTTATCATTGCTTCATGAATCCGGAACTAAAAGGCGGAAAGCGAAAAGACACACTATTACTTTAGAGACCTCTGCATACATGCAAGGTTGGTCACATATCTAACTAAGCTTTGGATGTGCGTTTATAGATATTTCAGGAGAACTGGATGCCAAACGTCATGGAAAAAAGCAGCCAAGTACATGCATGCCTGCCAGAGATGTATATGCTCTTATGTGGCAAATTGGGGCTGTAAAATGATGATTGATCAATAACTGTTTGCATGCATGAAGTTGTTCTCTATCTAAAAGAACAACCTGGTCATTCCGTACAAAAAGAACACTTCATGTAACTGAAAAAAAAAATGGATAAGAATAGCAAGAAACTCAGGTCTCACTTGCAGGAATAGCACACAACTCTTGCATGCAGACATGCAGTCATCCATGCTGTGAAGCAAAGTCGCCGCGGCGACGCCAAGCAGATGGATGCCTGACGAAAGAATTGAAACTATTCTGATTCCAGACTGATCGAATGCATGTCTGTCAGACTGTCAGGCGAAGATGCACCTCTATCTAATCCCACAGTGCATATGCATATCGATCTCCATTTGATCATGTTCAACGTAGTGATCATCGGTTCGTCGTTATATATAATTGAAGTAGAAATACTAGTATCCAAGTTAACAAACACACTCTGATTATTTATGCATGTATGCAGATTTTATTTTTTGTGTGTGTGTGTATGTAAAACTGGCATGCAAAGGAGTTAAAAGAGAGAAGTTAGAAGAGTTACAATGGCAGAAGGCAGCATGCCGATGAAATCCTGATCTTGAAACATCATCATCATCTCTACTGATCACTGCAGAAATGATCACTACTGTCTAGCTGAAAATTTTATGTATCTATAGTCTATGAGAAATATGTATATGACTGAATTGGGTGAAAGGGCTGAGAAGAAATGGTGTATGGAATTCAGGTGTGTAGGAGTAGTACTCTGAGTGAAGTCTCTGAAGTCTGCAAGCCATTCAGAAGGAACCATTTGAGTATATATAGATCATATGAGAATAACCAAAGTTGTGTGTGTGTGTTGTGGGCGTACATGGCTATAGAGATTTAGCCCTAGACGCCCCCCAGGCTAGGTACCATCTTTGGCATCTCTGAATCTATCTCTAAGCTAGCTGCACAGCTTGTGAAAAAAAATGTTCTGTCCCTGACGGTGAACAGTACGTACACGAAAACTCAACTGGGTTTTTTTCACACTGCTGCTAATGGGGAATAGTGATAGTGGAGATCTAGGAATCTGTTTCTGCTAATGAAAGGATGGTGTGGTATGATATGAGGAAGCAAATGCTTATCTGATTCTGATTCAGGCCAACCCTGCACACACTGAGATGTGTAGTTGCAGTACTGGTTTTTCTTTCTTTTGGTGACAGTTTGCAACTTTGCATGACCTGCTCTGTCTATTGTCGGATCCCTGGCTGAATTTTGGTGACAGAAGTTAGGAAGGATCGAGTGCGGAGAGTTGACTATGTCCTCTAGAATAATATACAGGAAATGGATTTTAAGCCGAGATCACACGCTCCTTTTTCTTTTGGCACGCACAACACAACAAATATAGTTTCGGAAGAAATTCATAAACCATGGTTTATTGTGTTATAATCTTTCCACAAACATGCGTGATCAAATCTGATCTAAATAAGCAAAAACAGAAATGGTAAATACAAGTGCCAATGCAAAATGCACTTTTTATAGTCAATGTTGCTATTTTTCTTCATATGCAGATCGAATTTGACCTTGATTGTACGTCGAAGGATTTGCAACACAATATAAAGTATATATTTTTCAATTTAAAAATTTTAATAATTATTTGCTTCACATACAATAAACTTAGAGCATGTGCCTTTGAGAGCTTAAAGCCACCAACGTACAACACCTCGGAGATATGCTCCTGTCTCTGAGACACCATGTACCATTAAGCTCGAAGCTCTTTCTCTAAGAATAAGTTCTCATATACTTTTTTGCTTGTTGGCTTATCAGCCGCAACTAAAATTTATATTTTAGAACTTAATTTTAGAGGTAATTTTAGGTTATTTTTCATCTATTCTATTTTTAGCTTTAATTTTAAACCACTAATAACATAGATATAAGTTTTACGCGTAACTTTTTTTCCTTCGTTCGTTTTTCTATGGCTTTTAAACCAACAACTTGACACAAATGTGATTCTTCCTTACTTAGTGATAGATCACTAGTGTCGTCTTGAGCTTGATGTGAGAAATTGTTGCATTCCGCTCTACCCAAACTAAAATGGACATGGAGTCAAACACAACACTTCAATAGGTTGTGAGTGACATGTGGGGTAGTCTCTAATCTAAAGAAAAAGCACTAATGAACCCTTTTAGTGGGAGATATGTCTAGTACCTTGTAAGTAACATAAAAATGTCATGGTCATTCCTATTTTGTAGAGTAGAGGCACATGTACACTGTAAACACATCTCTTTTTTGTAGTAAGAACAATAAAAGGCGTGTTTAGGTGTATGCACTCCTATTCTAGCGCGTATGTCTTATCCATGCTAGGCTTGACCTGATTAGATGAACGCAACCATGCAAGAGAGGTTGCTTAGTTGGTTAGATCAATTGGGCTAGGATTAAACGAGATTCAATTTGGTTGGTTGCATGTTGGATGAAGCCGATTTCGATCGTCTCGGTGGTTGCATCTACTGATCATGCACGGGTTACCTCTTCCAAGTTCCAACAGGTGATGAGGTATCACTCCAATAAAAAAATTGGTCAACTAGGAAAATTCATCAATTCTAAACCCCTTTTCTCAAGTTCCCATGGAACAGTGTCGATGCTAAAAAAAATGAGGTCTTCTGTTAAGAATATGTCAATATACAAAAGTAAATTTCACTTTAAGCAATGTCTATTGAATTATTGACCAAAATAGCATAATAGATAAGGGCTAGACCCATCTTTTCAATTGACGCTAGGAATTTCGCCATTCGTTGGGAGGGGACTCCACCGCCAATGCTCTTTGCTCAATTCGCATGCCAGTGGCTCTCTATCTAGAGTAGGAGAGCAAGCGATCAATCTAACGCTCCTCTCTCTAGCTATGCATTGATATTGAATGAGTAGTAGTTGCCCATGGCTAACAACGACCGGAGCTATACCAAGGAAGCTCACCAGTCGATAACGGTGGTGGTGCTAAGCCCAGGAAGAAGAATTGCATGATTATACAGCGGAAAGAAAATCGTATCTTCAACGTCCACAGCGTGCATCCACATTATCATAGTAAAATACAACTCTTTTATATGACAATGATTATCATCAAACCCTTATCAGAGCCAAGGAAAATAAGCTAAGTTTTAGCTGAACAAGTGGAGACAGGAGATAGAAACTTCGAAAAATTGAAATAAGAAGGTCCTAAAATATATTGTAACACATTGGCATGGATTGAAATAAACATTGCCCTAATTTGTTAGGCATGTGCCATCACCCATCTTGCACTTATCAGCCATGTCGTTTGGCATATGTTGATTATAAGCCGTAATGGCTTATGAGTGATAAAAATAATTTGTTATATATATATATATATATATATATATATATATATATATATATATATATATATATATATATATATATATATGACACTAAAAGCTAATGCTGAAAAATAAACTACAATTAAAAAAATCTTCCAAAATCAACTTCAAGATTAAAATTTAAAATTTAAATTTGATAATGGCTTGTAAGCGGAAGGACAAATGATAGGGCTTTTAGTTTTTGTACCTTACTGTAATTTGAGAAAGTCACTCTATCCAATTGCTCATACTATGGGGCTGTTTGGATGGGACTAAAAATTTTAGTCCATGTCACATCGGATGTTTAGACACTAATTAGGAGTATTAAACGTAGACTATTGACAAAACCTATTTCATAACCCTGAACTAATTCACGAGACGAATCTATTGAGCATAATTAATCCATGATTAGCCTATGTGATGCTATAGTAAACATGTGCTAATTATGGATTATTTAGGCTTAAAAAATTGTCACGCGAATTAGTTCTCATTTATGTAATTAGTTTTGTAAGTAGTATATGTTTAATACTCTAAATTAGTGTCCAAATATCCGATGTGACAGGGACTAAAGTTTTAGTCCCTAAATCCAAACACCACCTATAGTTGCTAGCTTAGAGGCTTGTGCGTTACAATGGAAAACAAAATCAGTTTCTACCTCATTAGATCAATTAATTAGCATTTATTTACCAAGTAATATGATGATTTTTCTTATTAACAAGTAGGTGATTTTGAAATTTGAGGAGATCCAATAGTAAAATAGGAGATGACTCATAAAGATGGTGTAATAGTACAGATTAGGGGACCCACATATCAATG